ACTTATTTTTCGTCACAGCCCTGACACGATGATTTTTTTTTTTTTTACTAAACGAAAATTGCAGTTCACCCCCGTATGCAGGGGTGTACCTAATTTTATATCTCTTTGTGGGGGCATATGCACCCACAATCCTGAATTATGCCCCCACAATGATGAAAAAGCACCCACAAGTCTTTTACAAGGCTGCAAGCGTCCTTTCGAGAGCACGGTGCCCTTCGCATGCTCTAACGGCGTCCTCCTAACCGTCTCGCGTTCATGTACCGGGGTTACATGAGCAAGTAAATGCGTATCAGGAACGGATTTTCCTATTCGCTCACCATTGTAGTCCGTTTGTAATGCGTATTAACTCTGCTCATGTAACCCCGAGCATGGATAGCGTTTTTAATCATCACTCGGCGCCCTTCTGGGAGAATGGCGCACTTTTGACAGCACCGCGCCATTCTCATGGTCTAACGGCGCCCTCCTGACCGTCTCGCGTCCTTAGGTCTCTGTTCACCGTGCATCCCTCGACTATTCGGCGCCCTTCTGGCCTCTCAGCGCCCCTGAACCACATATAGCGTTTTCAATCACTCGGCACCCTTTTACGAGAATGGCGCCCTTTTCATGATCTCAAGGCGCCCTCGTAACCATCTGGCGCCCCCACGTCCCCACCAACGTAGCACTACTGACTGTGCGGCGCCCTTCTGGCCTCTTAGCGCCCCTAGACCACATAGCGTTTTCAATCACTCGGCGCCCTCCTAAGAGAATGGCGCCCTTTTCATCGTCTCACGGCGCCCTCGTAAGTCGTAACCGTCTGGCGCCTCCACATTTGGTGCCCCTCCTACTGGATGGCGCCTCTCTACATATTTTTTACGTCCTTCCGGTCAGTTTCCACTTTTAAGCGTGTATTTGCTTAGTCAGACACGTCACTTGAAGCGCCATTCGGCTAGCAATGTTATCAAATTCGGTGTTAATTTAGGCTCCCACATAAAGAATATCTATCGCGCCCCAAAACGGCCTGGCGCCGGGCGCCCCTACAGCTGGGCACCCACAATCATTTTAGGAAAATTACACCCCTGCCCGTATGTGTGGTTAACTTTAAGCTGATCCTCAAGTACCTATGTGTTTGTCTCTTCCTTATTGTCGTTTGATAAATTCCATTTATCCTACATGTATAATTCCCAAGAAGCCATCGCAGTACTAATCAGTGGCGAATCCCAGGGTGGAGGTCACATGTGTCATGACTTAGGGCCTGGGGTCACCACATGCCTGCCAGGAGCACCACAGGCCTGACAGCCGACAGGGGCACCACAGGCCCGCCAGGGGTGCCAAAGGCCTAGCAGGGGCACCACGGGCCTGTCAGTGGCACCACAGGCCTGTCAGGAGCACCATCGGCCTAGCAAAAGCACTACAGGTCTTCCAGGGGCACCACAGACCTGCCAGGGGCACCAGAGGCCTGTCAGGGACACTATCGGCTTCGCAGGGGAACCACCGGCTTCTCAAGGGCACCATGGGCCTGTCAAGGGCACCACAAGCCTGTCGTTGGCAATTTAGGATTGTCAGAGGCACCACAAACCTGTCAAGGGCACCTACGTTCTAACAGGGGCACCACAAACCTGCTAAGGCCCAGGGACACCACATGCCTAGCAAGGACACCACAGGCCTGTCAGGGGCACCACGGGCCTGTCAGGGCCCATGGGCACCTAAGTCATGTCAGGGCCCACCGTAGGCTTGTCAGGGGGCAGGGTAGGTAGGTACCACAGTCTTTCCAGGGGCACCAGCGGCTTAGCAGGGGCACCAGTCATCACATGACTAACCAAAAATAAAGCAAAAAAAACTGAAAATAGGGCACCACCAAAATTAAGTGGGCGAAATCCGTTGAGGTTTTAATTTTGGGCATAGGTACTAGGTAGGGGCACCACTTCGATTCATGAACCTCCCCTTTCCCGAATTTCCCGAGTTTTCCCGAATCCGCCCCTGGTACTAATACATCAAATTTAAGGGGGGGGCACCTTGCTATTGGTGCCCCCCTTGCAGAATCCAAGGGGGGGCACGGTGCCCCGGTGCCCCCCCCGTTCCGCCGCCTATGTACGGATTCCGTTTCTGGTATCAGGCGGCTAATCTTTCTTCTCAAATGAGGAATCTTGCCTCAAAATTTTAGCTTCGTGATTTGCTCATTCGTTCCCACAATACGTGATTTTTGCTACTCTTTCTTCCGTCCTTTTACATAAAACGTAACGAAATTTCCATACCACTAATTCAGCTACTCGTCTCCCCTTACGTCGAATCTATCTAGCCCTCCCCTATCTCTAATCCATTATGATCGCTTTGCCAGCAGGATGAGGTGAAACAGCAGGACGCAGCGGATGGACCTCGAATATGAACGTAATGGATTACAGCGTGCAACTCTTGAAATTTGATAGGACAGACGGGAAATTTGAACATTAGGCATCTGAGAAGATTTTCTAGCAACTTTGGAGGAGACATGCAAATCAGACACTTGTGGTGACATTAACCCTCGCACGACCAGGCCATTTCTCATAACACGAACGACCAGGGGGGTGTTGTTACGACCCCCCCCCTGGCGTTTCGAAACGGAAGGTCGTAGAGCTTAGCGGAAAAAAACCAACGGATTGCTCTCAACGAGATCTCGCGATTGGTGGTATATTTTTTGGTCCTAGGTCAACATTTGACCTACTTATGACCGGTCAAAGGTCAAATTTTCGGAAAAATCTAACTTTTTCAGATTTCCGCGCCGATTGCGGCAAAACGGTAAGAGATATCGACTTGAAACCTTCACTAACGTGATCCTTGATCAATTCTCTATCGTTTGGTGTGTATTTCGATGTCATAACTTTAAAAATGATGCGTTGGGAGCATCGGAAGTCTGCAAGGTCATTTGTCCATTGGGTCACGTCAGGCGTGTGACGTCACTGACCTGACCCTGACCCAAAATGAACTACAAGAAACAACCGACGATGCCTGAAATGGATAGCAAATTCGAATTCAGGGCATCAAAATACCCCGAAATGGCATACAAGTGCAAGAAGTCATTACAGGTCAACCGAGGTCAATGACCTTACCTTGACCTTTAGTGACCTTCAAAATGTCAACGGACATTGTGCCAATGTCAAATCAGCCAGTTGTGATTCTATAAAACAATCCATCAGTGCGTCAGGTCAGTCGGCATTTATACCAATGTGAAGCAATCTCCAATTTAGCGTAAATCTGGCCAACAACCTCCGGCCCTTTATGACGTCATAACTCCGTGACCTGACATGACCTTGACAAAAAAATTACCAAAAGTTGCGCAAAGGATGCCCCAAAGGGTACTGAAAATTTGAGCAGGCTATCTGAAACGGTTCGGCGTGTAGCTAAGAAAAACCTCGGGGGGGGGGGGGTTGATACAACCCCCCCCCCCTAGGCGTTCTAGGGTTAATTGTGCTGATAGGATTTTAAAGCAAAGATGATGTATGTTAACATGAAATACTTACGCGTTGCCGACAGCAGCCAGCCGACGATGAGCAGAAGCAGTGAATCACTCAATGCTTTGGCCATTTTTCATAAGCTAATGGATCGGCTTGGTTCCCGTTGTTGAAGGAGGGCCGCCAGTCTAATGTTTGCCTAGTTACCTATATGGTGCAGGCAATCCGGATGGCGTTGTGCTTCTGCTTGCAGTCCTTTTACATGCTAAATAAAGCTGTCTTTTATCGCTTTCCGCCAAATCAATAAAGCTAAAAATGTACGTCAGGCGTCCAATACTCGTTCACTATAATTCATGGATGAAAATAGCCGACAGGAAATAACGTCGACAATATTTACATAGCTAGTACGCTATTTACAGCTAGTTTCAAATAAAACAGGCGTTTTGTTTTATTTCTAAAGAGTCTGCACACTTAAAATCATAACTGGTTCTACGATAGCGTTCTAAAAGCTCACAGGTAACACCTCAGAAGAAACAGCAAGATAAACTTGTGTTGGCTTCTGGTAAGCGAACTGGATGTCCTTGACGTTGTGCTCACCCGAGGTGTGGCCTTCGCGCCTTCAATGCGCAATATCATCTAGATCTTATGGTCTGTCACCTACGTACTCCTCTGATCAAGATGCATCCGCCTCTCACTCAATGTCCCCACACTAGTTCAACCCTTCTCCACTCGAGTTAACGACTTTTGTTTTCACCACCTCACTCTCGACTTGTTTCCTCACTCCCTCACAACCCCGTCCCCTGGATCTCGAGTCCGAGAGTCGTCGACCGCGACGACCCAGCCGCCGGCCGACGACCGACTGACCGTCACCGGAGTCGCCTCCGACGGGTGACCCTCGCTCCGCGTCGGCCTCGACGTTGCGACGGCGCTGCTCGGCGCCCACAGCCGATGGTGGCTTAGCGACTGACTGCAAAAGAGACCCAGTGACGGCCGAAACGGTGGGAAATATTCCGGGAGCGGTCGAACTAAATGATTAATTAGTCAATGACACCATACTAACGAGAGTGTGTTTTCTTGGGAATACCGTCTGGATGTGCAATAACAAAATGCTGAAAAATTGAGGAAACCTCGGGAATGCATAATATTGTACACATCAATTGCGAGCGTACCTATTTGCGCAAGGATGTAAGAAGCGATCTAAGTAGTGATATCTTGATAATGAACTTTGAGCTTAGGCATGTCGATTACTAGAGCGCTTTTTACCGTAACACATCGAAGTAGACTTGAATAGTCATTAATTCTTTTGGACAATTGTATCAAAATGCAGCAACATTTAATGCCTCTTGAAGTGAGCTCGGAAATAGTGCACTGATCGGCTAATCGATTTAGGGCCGGTGATCGACATCCGCGGCTCCATTTGACACGTGACGTGTCACGTGGCCAATCACACTTTGACACATGACCCCCTCACCCCTACAGCCCCCTCCCCCCGCGTTTGAGCGGTGTAGCTCGGTGACAGATGTGCAGTGAGTCTGCTCAGCGTCGTTTCACGAGGAAACGGAGAATACCAGTGCAGTGTTAGCGAGGTGCTGTGGTTTTGGTGTCCGGACTGAGACGTTCAGATAAGAGCGATCATCCAATCATCATACAGAAGGCATCAGCTAACTGCGCAACACGGCGCGACCAGGAGCCATGTACTCGCCGTTTGACGGACCCCGGAGGACCATGTGTGAGTGGCAATCATGACGCAAAACCTTTCAAATGTTACTTTACTTTGAATGGAAAGAAGACATAAAAACTTGGTTTAAAGGCGGACGATGAATGTTTCATCGTTGTGCATGCTTCTGTATGCACTTGTGCCTGGTGTTCAATTTCTTTAGGCTGGTTTACAAAGGAAAATACATATGCTGTGCTGACACCGTTCACGCCTTAACTTAGCGAATAGACTTCGATTGCACCTAAGTCTCGCCCAGTAACACATGCTACCCTCGTTTTCCAGTCTTCATTCTGCTTATGTCTCTCAGGCCTGCATAGCAGCTCTTCTCCTGTTAACCAGCGAATCGTTTGGTCTAAAAGGCCTAAGGTTATTCCCGGCCAATTCACTAAGGTGAGATTATTTCCGTGTGTACCTATTGAAATAAGAGTATCTGCAGTTTAGCAAGGCATTCAGTTCTCCAAGCAATTATGGATGTATTATATTGATGTACTTCTGTAGATGAAAGAAAAATTCGTTCTCTCACTTACCAGGTAGATAAGATTAGATTAAAGTGCCACCCACACCAGTCATGGCGACGCTAAGCGGCTTTACATGGCACCCGAGTACCCGGCCTCGCAAGGCGGTGAACAATCGACAAAGCTTTGCAGCGAAAATAGGGCGAGGCTAGAAGGGAAGCTCAAGACTCAAAGCAATGACAACAGTCGCTTATTCAGTTCATAATTTCCATTTCTAGCCCAGGTTAGCCATATATTCAGTCCTGTCGGCTTCTCACGTCCAGCAGCTACTGCGCACTGCTCATTATGTCCCAATACCTTGGTCGTTATGCTGCTGCAGGTCCCATCATCAGCACCATCACAGCAGCAGCGCCCACCCGGCCTTTCCCGACCAGGACCAAATCGTGCGAGAGAGGGCCGATACCGGTGAGAGGCGCGATTCCGCCATTTTGTGCTTTTACAGTAATCAAATAGTACCCACATAGACCTCACGCAGAACATGCCATTTCACAATGTGTCCAGTGTCCACGCAGGCATTAATTTGCTACAATAGAGCATACCTAATGCTTTGAATACTACTTATTGAATGAAAAATTCGTGGATAATGACGAGCCATGCCAATGTTCATGCCTGGTCGAATGCAGATGTTCATGCCCGGTCGTACGGTACGTGCAATGTATGATAAGCTCCTTGCTAATGCAGATTATTGCATTTAAATTGTCATAAGCAGGTGTCAAGAAACTTTTCACCGGAGATCATAAGGAGAAAGCTGCAACTTGTGAGTAACCATGTTATAATGAAATTTGTCAATTTTTAGCTGTCTTTCAGTAACACATGTCGTTTCTGGGAATTTTTGGACGTCAACATTTCATGGAGTGATCAAACTCAAACATACACACGGAGGCAGCCGTTGGCTCGTTTCTATCTGAGATTTTCTATTTCTCTGGACAATTCTATCATCCCGTTTCTATCTGATGCTGGCTCCTGTCCTTCAGGTGAATACATTGAAGTTGTGGTTCCGGGGGAGGCCAGCAGCCTGGCCGGCACTGTGGCGGTGGTCAACTCAGTGCTACGACACACCAACCAGTCGGTTAGATTCCACCTCGTGGTGCCGCACCAGACCGTCACCATACTCAGGTGGGCCCCGTCACCAATAGTCGGTCAGGTTCCACCTGATGGTGCCGCACCAGACCGTCACCATCCTCAGGTGGGTCCCGTCACTAACACCAATCAGTCGGTCAGGTTCCACCTGGTGGTGCCGCACCAGACCGTCACCATACTCAGGTGGGTCCCGTCACTAACACCAACCAGTCGGTTAGGTTCCACGTGGTGGTGCCGCACCAGACCGTCACCATTCTAAGGTGGGTCCCGTCATGTCTGTCACACCGGACGGTGGACTCCGTCAGCAGTAGAATATAAACACATTTTTCACCCTAAATTCATGCATATCTTTATCCGTGTGTGACACAAACCAAAATCAACAAAATCGATAAGCGTGTTGCTAGCTGCCTTGAAAATTTGCACATAACCGGAGCTTGGACGTGTTTATAATCCATAAGTAAGCTTCATTGTCCCTTTGCAGGCAGTGGCTGGACGGTATACCGGATAGCCGCCTCCACTACCAAATTATCGCGTTTCCTGAACGGCTTCTGAAGCTAGCCAACAACGATGTGGAATCAGCCCAAGTGTTCTTGGCCGGAATTCTACCGACAAATATCACAGGAAGAGTGATATTTATCAGCAATGACGCTATAGTGCAAGGTAGATTCCTGCATGTTGTGTGCCTACTTGCAGTGTCTGGGACGCTCATTTATTTTCCCTTCGTGAATGAGTGTTGTGGAAGACCTTAGAATTGGCTTTTCATGTTTGACCACTAACAGAACACTTAGGTGCCTTGCACGGCTCTAACAACTATGTAGCAACAGCAGTTGCTCCAACAGACGCACCCCGTTTCAGGTGACATTGCCGAGCTGCAGCAGGTCCCGATAGCGGTGCACTCCTTTGGAGCATTCCTGCTGGACAGCCAGTCAGAGACACATGCGGACCTGGCGGATAAGCCGCTGTACAGCCAGCAGGTCAACATGATGAACCGGTGAGTGACATGGTCGGGAGCAGGGAGGGGGTCCTTGGTGCGCTGCGGCAGTTCAGCTAAGAACAAATCGATAATGCTTGTCTTGCCCTTAGGCCCCAGCTGTTCGGTTGCTGTGGTTAATTTTGTGTGTTCTTGGAAGACTGCTATTACTTTTGTAGCTGTATTGTATCTGTATAAATGTCTGCCAGTGCTATTCATTGATTCCAGTACAGTGATTTATAGTCCGAGTGAATAATAATGCAACATTACCTACATAGTGAGAATACTTATGTCACGTTGTTTTTACCTAGCATCACTGAACTTGGAACTTTTACTTTACAACACATCTGCAAATTTTTCTTTTTGGCACCGAAGTATGATGCTTTTATCTTATCCGACCGACATTGTAATGGGCGTAATGTTTAACACCCTGTGAGTTATGCTGTACCGCAAGTCTCCACACGACATAGTTAGACTGACCCGCAAGGCACGACTCTTCCACGAGTGATGCAATGGACGGAAGTCGAAGACAGTGGAGACTTGAAACCGCGAGTTGTTCTACAGGGTCTTTCATAATGAATGTTACTTTTGAACATTTAGTTAGGAGCTCTTAATTTATCACTTCCGCGTGAATTTTATATGCGTATTGTTGCAAATTAATTAGGGTTTTGTTCCAAAAAATAAAAAATTCACAACGCCAATTTTCCTTCACGGAAAAGCAGAGTATGTCGACACCACTAAAACGCATTACGGATTACGGTCGACGGACAAGTCTTCATCCATTGGCTCTCCCCTGGGTCAACACTGAACGGGGTGGCTTACCTCAGGCTGCTCAAAGAATGCTTCTGCCTCAGGTCAGGGACAAGGTTCAAAGAGACGGCCTGTGGTTCCAGCAGGATGGTGCCACAGTGCACACCATGGCAGCTGTTGCGCCAGTGGCTGATCGAGAATTTCGAAGAGCGCGTTATCAGCCGCCTCACCGAGCAACCATGGCCACCACGGAGTCCTGACCTCTCCCCGCTGGACTACTGGCTTTGGGGAGTCGCATTGGCAGATCTGAGACAAAACCCTCCTGCAGCCATCCACTGTGAACCACAGTGGAGAGGTTTACTGGAAGCCTGGACCCAGACGTTGTGAGGCGCGGGGTCGACACCTTCGTCAGAGGGCCGAAACGTGTGCCTTAATTAAGGGCGATACAGTGGAAAATTCCTGAGGAGCATTAAAATGAAAGTTGTGTGTGCAAAAACGCTAATGTGTTTCTGTTTCATGTGATGGTACATATTACATGAGGAACATATATGTCCTGAGAAATAGCTCTTTCAAAAGTAACATTCATTATGAAAGACCCTGTATATAAGACATTCAGCGTGATCAGTTTTTAATTCACAATTTTGTGACCCTAGTCGCCATGGAATCTCCCGGAATTTTAGTGTTTCAGGATTGGTTGCAGTGAGATCCACACAGAAATAAGACCTACGCCGCTTTTTTAAATGTCGCCAAATTCTGCGAGATATAGATCTAACGCATAGTTCTACGTACCTAAGATAGATTGGCGTCATGGATCATCCCAAGATCCGGTTAGATCACATAGTTATTTAACAGCTAGATCTGTGCACGGCAGCGCGTATAATCTGGCTTCTTTCGAGTAACACCATATTGGTGTTATATGTGCATGGTACTGCTGCGCTAAAATCGACTACGTTACGGCAAATTATTTTTACTTGTGCTCATATTTGTCGTGAAATCCGTTTACGGAGACGGAGATCTATGATCGCAACCCACCTCCGTGTTAGTAAGAAGGCATCATATTTACCTAGTCTGCCACCCATTGTGATGGGATAATCAATTTGATGTGCCTAAATTGTTGACTTACAGCTGCATGGGCATGGTAAATGATGTTTGTATACGGCCAGTGGTGTTTGCCTGTCGTTCTTCAATTAGACGTCCGGTTCCAGGTTTGTACACAAACGCCACATAAAGGGCACACGAGTGACGTTCAGCGGCGGAGTATTCGTGGCCAATATGAAGTACTGGAGGCACACACATGCCCACCGATCACTGGTCGCATGGCTTAATATCCACAAAAGGTGAGCTATAAATAGTACGTATGCCAGTTTGCAGCACAGGTGAATGATCGAGAGGCAATCGATCATTTGATTTCTATTGTTTTTGCAATTTTGACCATGTGTTTGCAATAATCCAGAGTATTTGACATCGTAGCACCGACAATCTCAATGCCTGGGCAGCACCTTTACCCACCGTGACGTCACCATTTGTCTCAGGATGTCGATCGTCGGTGCGTCTCCGAGCGCCACCGCCCACCGCGCCGCCATGCTGCTCACTTTCTACGGGCGAGTGTCGGTGCTGCCCCCGAAGTGGCACCTGCGGGGACTCGGTGAGTGCATATAGGACGCGCGGCTTAGGGACCTCTTGTTGAACCTCTGTCTGCCCCCCGGAGTGGCACCTGCAGGAGCTCAGTGAGTGTCAACATGGTCATAAGATAGGAACTTCATGCCCTGCCCCCGGAGTGGCGCCTGCGAGGACTCGGTGAGTGCCTATTTGGGTGCCCGGTGACCTCCTAAACGGACCTCTCGTTGTACCTCTGCCCCCGGAGTGGCACCTGCAGGGACTCGGAGTGCCTATAGGGGTGCCCGGGGACCTCCTAAGGGACCTTTCTTTGGACCTCTGCTGCCCCGGAGTGGCATGCCTGCAGGGAGTCGGTAAATACCTATTAGGATCACCGGGGACTTCCTAAGGGACCTCTCGCTGGACCTCTCTTTGCCCCCGGAGTGGCATCTACTCCGGGGGCAGCGCGGTAAGTGCTTAAGATGTCCCGAAACCTGTTAAAGGACCCAATTAACCTTCCCTGCCCCTGGGATTGTATGAAGGCAGAATTCTACACCAACCCATATCTGACCGAGGCCGCTATAGTTTCTGAACATAACCGCGAGCTCAAACCTGAACAATCAGCAGGGATTTCACGCCGTTTTAAACATACAGGGTAGATAAGAGCTGACACGAAGTGTCGCAATTAACGGTTAACTGTACGTACCTTGTGCGCTGCTTGGTACGGACATGACATTTGTTACGAGTCAACATGACTTGGCATATTCGGTATGATGGCACGTATCCAAAATGCTGGATAGTTCTAGCTCTGGTATTGTATGAATGCTATTTTTTAACTACATAGTTACACGACATCGCGTAAATATGACGTGAAAGATATTTACACTGTCTTCTCGGCTTTTGGGGACACTGATCTATTTTTCTGTCTTTCACAGGAGTTAGTGAGGCGACACCATACTCGGAGAGTTTCGTGCGGAGCCATAAAGTGATCCGCTGGAGCGGCCACCTGAAGCCCTGGATGCCGAACACCCCGTACAGAAACCTGTGGCTGGAGTACGCCGTACCCGACCCGATCAGGAAGCCGTAATACACAGGTGGCGTGCACGCTCGATGCTGTCGGTTAGAGATGTCGCGCTAGTCGCTACTTTGCTACGTCCATCACCTGACCGCTTTTGCAACGAGCTTAGTCCAAGGCATGTCGTAAGTCTTGCATGTGCTTTGTTACATTGCTTAGTCATGGTTACTTCGATTCTAAGTGCAAGTTTCCCATCAAGTGGAGCACCTGGTTCCTGGGTGCCGCTAAATGCACAATTACATAGGCAGAGCTTTTGATGTGAGATGCCTTCCTGGCCTGTTTGTGTTGTGGTACTTTACTATATGTGCCCAATGCCGATACCTATAAGTAATATATTTTAACATATTTCGCGTATTTTTTGTTGTTGTTAACTACATGAGAACAGAGAACGAAATGAATGAAAAGGAACTTCTCTCTCTCTCTCTCTCTCTCTCTCTCTCTCTCTCTCTCTCTCTCTCTCTCTCTCTCTCTCTCTCTCTCTCTCTCTCTCTCTCTCTCTCTCTCTCTCTCTCTCTCTCTCTCTCTCTCTCTCTCTCTCTCTCTCTCTCTCTCTCTCTCCCTCTCTCTCTCCCTCTCTCTCTCTCTCCCTCCGCATCCCCGAGACAGGTACCTACCATGTTTATTACTTCATTTTCTCACCATATAAGCCTCACTTACGTGACTATCTTTCAGCTAGCAAGCCCTCCACCCACCAACCCCATCCCTCCCGTATACCCCTCCCCGTCTCGGTAATAATCACTTTATTGTCACGCCACGCCCTTCCTCCCCCTCTCCCCTCCCAGACAGAGGGATGGGGTGGGACTCTGCGCCGCTCGCGGCAGCGTCTCGGGGTGCGATAATCACAGAGCGGTAATACCGGCACCGGTCGTCCGTACATACAGACCCCCGGCCTAGGGCTGTACCGGTGAGGGCACTAGTGGTAATGGCCTTGGTATCAGCCGGGCTGACTGCGGACTGCCACGCTCGCCCCCCCCCCCCCGCCCCCACGGCGCACGCGTGGCTGTTGTTGCTGAGGGAGGCACTGTTGGGGCCAGCCGATACCTTCCCGTTAAATGAAGTGATTAACGATTTGTGGTTAACGCTTGAGGTTTCTTTCCAGCCACAAGGTCGATCAAAGTTCACGATGCGGGGAGACAAAAGGCAAGGACTCAGTTGAATATAAATTGTTTAATCGTAACTTGTATTACAATTTACTTCTAAACATGGCAATCACTGTCATTCGTTAATTATCTTATTGTGAAACAGATAATTGGTTCTACCATACGCAGAGGGCACTAAGTCATCTCCTGTCCCGGCAGTAGGAAAGAGTGGGGCAAAGTGGCCACCCTAACGCTTCTTACGATGCCGACGCTTGATTTTTAAAGTTGGAAATTTTATTTCTATACCATGCGATCCCTATTAACCCTATTAGTGGCAGGGGGGGTTGTTTTCATCCACCCCTCAGGTTTTTCGGGAATATCTCCGAAACCGCTAAAGCTATGATGCTGAAATTTTCTGACTTTTCCTAAAACTAAACTGGGCACATTCCCTGAAAATTTCAAGTTCATAACTTTACCAGGGGCAGCTCCAGAGCACTGGGAATTGGGGGGTCCTATTCGTGAAGCGAGTCATTTGGGCGAAGATCACGATGCTGATGTATTATAACTGTATGCACCAGTTTTACGATAAGTGAATGATAGGTATCATGTGATAACATATACAAAGTTATTGTGCATCCTCTTCTGACACGTTTTTGCTATAATAGGCGGATCCAGGCGTCCAAAAAGGGGGGTAGGGTGTTTCACATTTTCAAAGTGCCATATTGCGAGTCATATCGATGTTCCCCTCAAATGTCATCTGCTCACAAGTTTCTGTGTAAAATTTCACTTCATTCTGATGATGTTTAGAGGTCGCACATTTCTGCGACTTTTCATCTCTGATTTTGTTTCTGGCCGTAACATGAGTAGTCTTCCTGCGAACTAATTTGGTTGAGAAAGCCAGGCAGTGGCGGCGGTATAGGGGGTGCAAACATATCTTTTTTGCACCCCCAAAATCCACACAAGGGGCCCGTCGCACCATCCAATACATTTTCTCCTGAAAACCAGTGATCGGGAAACGAACGCTGATGTGGAATCATCCGGGGTGTCTATTTATGGTCAGGAGCGCCCCATGCTAGTCGGGGCCTTCACACCGGCTAGAAGTGTCCCGAGTCGCGTTTGGTGCTCCACACGGCATCTGAGGGCCCCCACGACGGCCTCAGAGGACCCTTTTATGACGATCTCTGAGGGCTCCCACCTGAGGGCTTTGTCCCCTGGGGCCCTACAACGGCCACTAAGGGCCCTCGTGACGACCGCTGAGGGTCCGACAGAGACTCCAGGGGCCACGCTGGCCTCTGAGGGCCCCTATGACGGCCTCTGAGGGCCCTTACGATGATCTCTGTGGGCTCTCACGACGAACTCTGTCCCCTGGGGCCCTATAACGACCACTAAGGGCCCTCATGACGACCGCTGAGGGTCCCACAGGATTCCAGGGGCCCCACTGGCCCCTGAGGGTCTCTACGACGGTCTCTGAGGGCCCTCGTAACGGCCCTAGACCCAACTCAAGTCTGAGGGCCCATTTGGCTTCAGGCGGCCCAGCGACGGCCTCTGAGGGCCCCAACACAACCAGGCTGCGGGGGCTATGCTGGCAGCTGAGGGCTCTGCAACGGTCTATTGAGGGCGGCAGGGCCCTAACAACGATGGCCTGCGAGTCGTGGAACTCAACCGGAAGGCGCTGCCCAAGCGCACCAAGGAAGGATGTGCCCCCTTCTCTGTGTAACGAGTTTTGGTGACAAAAGTGTGCGACCCCTAAATATACTTAAATTTGGGTTTCAAGCGTATCAATCGATTCAGTTTTACGGGTAGAGTTGGGGCAAAGTCGATATGGCTGAGTTTTGAACCAACATTATTTTACCATAGTGTAATGAAACACCCTAAAGGGGGGTTATGTTTTACCTCCCAACATAGGTGCCCTGACACCGCCTATGCATGACCAATACAATTGTAGTCGTTCTCTCCTAAGAAAATTGTAACATAACAAGACCATTGCCACCTTTTTTAGAAACAATACTGTAGCGGCGCCGAGGCGCCGAAGATGCGCACGACTCCGGGGTGCAAGCGCCGTCGGTGTCACAATCATGTGCATTTTGCGTTTATTGTGCCATTTAACAGAAAGTTGTTTTTGTTGTTCAGCTAAAATGTGCCAAAAGCTGTTTTTCATCAAGTTTGCATTGTCAATTGTAATTTTAGCTTTATTTCGCTAAAAAGGTTGTCTAAACGATTAACGTAAATATGTCCGTTTTTGGTCGCTACATTGTTAAGCGGTATCTCCACGTCCTGTCTGCGCTGTGATTTGCGATACAGTCGAAATCATTGCATTGCATTGCATTGCCTGACATCGCATTAGAAGAGAATATAAATTGGTATCACGAACAGGCAGCGATGCGTTTAAGACGACGCGAGGAGCGCAGGCGGGAACAGTTTCGACTGTATCACACTGTATCGACAGTGTGACAAGTCGTGTGTCGAAAACTACAGTTTCGACTGTGTCGACAGTTTTGACTGTCGCACACTGAAGTGACAATTTCGACTGGGTCGAACTATCGACTCATTGATGCGACATTTTAGACTATTTGCAAGAAGTTGAAATGACAGTTTCGTCTACGTTGAAATGACTGTCGTTTGTACAGCGCCCGAGACCCGTTCGACTTCATTCGTCTCGGCGCTAGTGGATCGTCGTACCGGCGGCTGTCTGATGTCGGCCTGGAATCGCCGCCGCTGCAGCGTCAAGTCAGGGATTGAAAAACGCTAGTCTCGGCTTGCCGGTACGTTGGCTCTCGTGCAAAAGGCTGAGTGGGGTCAGTGACCCTGTTGAGCTCGATAGGCTTGTGTCTTGTCATGTAATGCGGCTTGTATTGCCGATCGCATTGGTGTTTGAAAGGTACGTTTCGCTTGTATCATACGTACCGTTTGAATCATGAATTTGTCGCGGCTGACAGTGCAATTGTTAAGGGCACAGCTTTTGGCTAGAAATCGTAATGCCAAAGGCACTAAGGCTGTACTTGTAAAAAGGTTAGGGGAAGCTCTTCAAGAGGAAGGCATTGATGTTACCCTATTTGTTGCTCGCCTAATCGGTAACTCTGTGACCGGGGAGGGTCAGAATGATGAACGTCAGGTAGGTCAGTCAGCTGCTTCGGCTACCAGTCCTGTCGTGACCAGTCTCGTCGACGGAGGCTCGAGGCCCAGCCAATCAGATATTGCTATTGACGCTGTAGATCCCGAGGATTGCTGCATTGAGATTTCTGGTGCTGGTGCTCGTTTGCGGGCCTCCGCTGCTGGTCAGAACGCTGTTCGGGACCCGGTAAACCAGCGGGCTGTCTGTCCTGATGAAGATGTGCAGCCAGCTGACAGTGCTTCCCATGATGGTGGGTCCGTCTTGTCTCGGGGAAGTGCAAGATCATCTCTGGCTTCGACGAAGGCCCAGGAGTCAGCTAGACGAGCTGCTCTGAAAGTGAAGATGAAGTTCCTAAAAGAAAGGCAGATGTTGGAGCTTCGTGAGCAGGAACTGAAGATGAAGAAGGAGGAATTGAAGCTGCGTGAAGCCCTTGAAGAATCTGAAGCCTTTGAAGCCGCACTTTCAGAAAGCGGGCCTAACTCGACTGTTTCAACGGCTGTTGGAGGAACCGGTAACAGCACCCAGGAAAGGATTTCGCCCATTTCGAGACCGGCCACTCCCCCTCCGGCACCAGAAGCTAGACGTACCGAGAACGAGGATCATCAGGCGAGCTTGATGAAGAAGTTGCTCACCTCGTGTGTTCTCCCAAAGCCAGACATTCCCGTGTTCTCAGGCGATTTTGCCAGATTCCACCAGTTTTTGAGAGCGTTTGATGGACGAGTCGCTAGCGTGGTCGTCGATGAGGAAGAGAAGCTTCGCTATTTGGAGCAGTTTACGTCTGGAACACCAAGAGACATCGTACGGGGATGCATGTTCATGAAGACCGGTGGCTATGAGGAAGCGAAGAGGCTATTGATGAAGAGGTATGGCAACCCTGACCGGATGGCTGAGTCATTCATCGACCGTCTGGTGCACTGGCCACTTGTGAAGGGTGATGATGTCGCTGGACTCGACAAGCTCGCGGTGGAGATGAGAGCCTGTCACAACGCAGTGGACAGTCTGAAGGGAGCCAGCCATGAGCTGAACCATCCAAAAACAATGAAGAAGATTTTGGAGAAGCTGCCCTTCGCAATTCAAGAGAAATGGCGGAGAGAAGTGGACCGTCTGGCAGAAGGAGAGGGAAGGTCTGCACTGTTCTCTGATCTGGTCAGCTTGATGGAAGTAGAAGCCAGAATCGCTTCAAACGCTGCCTTCGGCCGTCAAGTCTTTCTCAAGAAAGACCTATCAAGAGCCGACAAGTCTCAGGAGACCAAAGTCAAGTGTAATTACGTCAAAACCAAAGACGCTGAAACCGAAAAGAAGATATGTGTATTGTGCAAGCACGAGCACGACTTGTCTGCGTGCCCAGTTTTTGCAGAGAAAACATTGGTGGAAAGAGAGAAGCTTGTTCGTCAGCACGCGCTCTGCTTCGGATGTCTGGAGGCGGGTCACAGGTCCAGATGGTGTAAGTCCCGTCTGACTTGCATGGTGTGCGGGAAGGGCCACCCCTCTGTGCTCCATAGATACCAGACGGCGACGGTCAGCCACGATAGCCCGCCGATGACTCTATTAAGTGACCAGCGGGCTTCGCAGGCAGCAGTAAACGTCCTCTCTTCTAGAAGAGCAGGACATTCGGGTGTAAAGATGCCAATTGTTCCGGTGAAAGTGAAGTACCAAGGTGAGACTACTGTACAGACTTACGCCCTTCTCGACAGCGGTAGCTCATCAACCTTCTGCAGTCAGTTGTTGTTGGACAAGCTGGGGGTGCCCACCTCGGCGAAGACCAAACTCTCCGTCATCACCATGGCCAGGGACCCGCTCAAAGTCTGGACGGCTCCCGTTGAGGGCTTATCGATATGTGGCATCGACGAAAGTGACCCCGTTGACTTACCTGAAGTGTTCTCGTTGGGAAGCATCCCAGCTAGCCGGGAGGAGGTCTGTAGAGTTGACGATCTCTCTGACTGGCCACGCCTGCAGGAAGTCGTCCCGCCTGACATAGACGCTGAAGTAGGACTCTTGATTGGCGTAAACGTCCCGGCTGCTCTGGAGCCTGTCGACTTCATCAAGAGTCGTGACGGCGGCCCTTTCGCGGTAAAAACCAGGCTTGGATGGGTGGTCCAAGGCCGAGTTCGACACTTGAGACCGACGCAGCCGAAGAGCACCACGAATCGCATCAAAGTGGAGCCCCAGCAGCTTCATCTGGACGGGAGCCTGGCTACTGGAGAACGACACTTGTCTGTTGAAGATCCTCGATGGCGGAGCGATGACACAGTTCAGCCGCCAGAGGTACGCCTGAGGAACGTTCTCCCCTTCGGCGCCAGGTCCTCACCCGGAGTCGCTGACTGTGCTCTGGGGCAGGCTGCGGAAGCCAGTGGTGAAAGAAGTTCGTGGTTGAAGCCAGATAAACCATTGGAGACTGAAGATGCTGTTGTGATCGCTGACAGTGGCCTTCAAAGGATCCAGCGACCACTGGGTCGTGTGATAGAAAGGCGTGCTAGCCAGGACGGACTGGTGAGAAGTGTTAATGTGAAAACGAAAGGAAGGGAGATGTGGCGCCCAGTCACGAAGCTGGTGTCATTGTGCTAGGCGCCAGCTGAGCGAGGACGCTGTGCCAGATGGTCTCTGTGCCAGTTCGATTGAGGCAATCTGCGTTGCGCAAGGTACTTGTTGATTTGGGGAAATGCAAACGTGCGCACTGCCTCTTCATGTTCCCCTTGTGTTCTCGTTTTGTATGTTCGGCCTTGAAGACCGAACGGGGAGGGTGTAGCGGCGCCGAGGCGCCGAAGATGCGCACGACTCCGGGGTGCAAGCGCCGTCGGTGTCACAATCATGTGCATTTTGCGTTTATTGTGCCATTTAACAGAAAGTTGTTTTTGTTGTTCAGCTAAAATGTGCCAAAAGCTGTTTTTCATCAAGTTTGCATTGTCAATTGTAATTTTAGCTTTATTTCGCTAAAAAGGTTGTCTAAACGATTAACGTAAATATGTCCGTTTTTGGCCGCTACCTTGTTAAGCGGTATCTCCACGTCCTGTCTGCGCTGTGATTTGCGATACAGTCGGTAAGGACTTGTTTTTATTTACTAAAATCTTCATGCTGTATCATTGCGTTGACTTGCTCTTGTTTTGTTTCCTCTCGGTTTCTTTTATTTATCTCGGAGTTCATTTGTATCTTGTAACGATTGTCTGGTCTTTTCCAGAAACCATTGCATTGCATTGCCACATCGCATTAGAAGAGAATACAAATTGGTATCACGAACAGGCAGCGATGCGTTTAAGACGACGCGAGGAGCGCAGGCGGGAACAAATACCAACAAAAACCTTATTTACTATACTTTTTGTGTACCCCCAATCTCAATGAACTGTATCCGCCTATGATTTTTGAAAATGCGTATTTTTAGGATCCATGTGAATTCCTGGTCCATTCTCTATCGATCGGCAAAAGTTGCGTTAAGATTGGTTTAGAAACCTGGCCGTGATAAACAGTCTAAAATGTATCTGCAATTTGCCCGTTTTTACCCCCCCCCCCCCCTCTACCCCCCTATAGACATTTTTTAATTTTTATTTTTCAGAAATGTAGATCACGTTGAGCGAAATCGAATGCCGTTTGAATTTTGAAAATCGGCCCGTTAGATCTCGAGATATCAAGGGGGGTCGTTAACCCGCGCCCCGCTGGGCTATTCAGCCATACGCGCCCTGCTGGGGGGCAGATTCTGCCCCCCCCCCCTGTCTAACTTCCGAACCGATGGTCGTAGAAGGACGGGGAAAACGGCAATCGAAAGCTCTCAACAAGGCGGATCTGAAGACCCCAAATTTTTTTGCTTAAGTAGGTCAGAGGTCAGGTCAAGGTCAGGTCAAGGGTACAAAATGCAAGTTTCTACAGTATCGGCCTTGCACCGTAGTTGCCGAAGAATGGACTGAGACTGATTGCCCAAAACGTGTTCTTAGACTACCAAGACAATATTCGTTGCACACAATGTCATTCAAAGGTCAAGGTCAAGGTCAGGTCAGGTCAGGTCAGGTCACCAAAAACAAAATATAGAAAAGGGCATGTGCGACACATGTTTTATGGGTCATTTTACTCATGGAATTCAATAGGCACACTCAATAAGTGATATGGACCACCTTGGGATGAATTTCAGGTCGAGGTCAGGTCAAGGTCAGGTCAAGTGAGGTCAAATTTTGAAGTTGGTTGTTAAGGCCTAAAAAGGTGTCTATCCGATGCAGTTTTTCACGGTGAATCGAATGGTGCTATTTTTGTTTCCGTACGAGGTCTAGAACTTCCAAAAAATCATTTTTCAAAAATTTTGTGTGTCGTGACGTCATAAATTTTTGAATAACTCCCACATTTTTGAACCGATTCTTCTAAAAATTGGTATGTAGGTGCACAAAGACCAGTTCTCTGACATATATTCCGGTTTTTTCGATAAACCCAAAATTTTGGATTTTATAAATATTTTCCCAAAAAAGTCAGTTTTTTGGAAAAATTTTGGCCAAAATCCAAAATTTAAAAAAAACTGAGATAGCCATTTGATAGACAAAGTAGAATCACGTATAACCTTTTTTGTTACGTCTTGATTCCTTTAAAAATGAAGATGTTAGCGGCATTTGAAATTTTGCCGTTTTTGAGGCGAAAATGGCGAACATGACGTCACTAAAACGTCAATTTATCAAAAAATTTCCGACGGATTTCGTTCAAATTTTCAGGGAACGTGTCAAATTGATGTATGATAAGGTACCGAAAGTTTGACGTCGCTGGCGTAACGCGTTTAGAAGTTATTGGCGAAAAACGGGAGGGGGGGCAGATTCTGCCCCCCCAGCGGGGCGCGGGTTAACAGCCCCCCTGCCACTAATAGGGGTAGCCAGGAGCCTGCCACTAATAGGGTTAAATTGCCCTTTATTTGAACTGCGTTTCAATTTCAAAGACGTTCACATATGGGAGATATTGGCAGAGCTTTAAACCTACGCATTTTGGCCACATTTGCCCCATACCCCGTGGCAAAGCGGCCACCAGCGACTTCTAAAGTCTAGATATGAGAAACAGAATAGTTGACTCATGTACGACTTGGGTATTTGATGGTTACAAGGTTTAAACAAGAATAAATGTTAAAGTTGTGATATTCCCACAGGTAAACAAAGAAAGGATATGCATGGAAAAACATTTATTGCATTATTTAGCAGCTTATGTAATCAAAAAGTGGCCGAGATGAATGCATGACGTAAGCATTTCAATATCAATAACGTTTGTTGTCCAGATGGAAACAACTTTGGCCAATTCGTATCTGGCCACTTTGCCCCGTCCACTTTGCCCCGAGCATACCGTCCGAGACAAAAATATTCCAGCTCAGCTATTAGTGGGGCAAAAGGCATGACAATTGGTAACATAAATCTACGATGACCTCACAATGCATGAACGAGAACCCTTAACTAAAATTTCAAACTGTTTTTGAATAAAACAACATTTAAAACTCGTTGAAATAGTTAGCAACCTGGCAATAATTGCTTTTACGTCTATCACAGGACAATGGTGATGGGCCGCAAAACCCGGTCTGCCTCATTCGAACGACCGCGAAAGGAAGTAGGTATAATTGGCGACCAGCTACGGCAGAGTTTTATGAAACGAGGCCCAGGAGCTGACGCCAGCTGTGGAGGGCTAAAACGATGGGTGGCCGCTTTGCCCCGGGTGACCGTTTTGTCCCACTCTCCCCTAGGTATCAGATCAGTGCAGGCGTGTTCTCTAGTAGGACAACTATCAACCTATCAGATCTATCAGACAACTGAGCAGCTACCTTCTCTCGCCATCATTATCGACAGGTGTTCAGTTCAGTAGCCTTCGCAGTTCGCCGCGCCCTTGACTCGCTGTCGTGTGTCGGTGACGCTGTCCTTGCTTCGGGGAGTTTTTCTGACACTTCCTTGATGTTACCGTGCTTGAATGTGGGTGATGGGTTTGCTAGGGGACAGACCTCGTACCCTCCCGCGACCCACAGTTCTCCTACAGCAAAAGGGACGTCGATATCCAAGGGGAGGGAGCGTGCTCTTTCGTTGCAATATGAGTCCTGGACTTGCAGCATCCCGTGAACATAAACGATCATTCTTGATTCAATCTGTCTAGTTTCCATCGCTTTATACGATATTCCATTCTCAGATGTTTGAACATTTGTTTTCATCCGGCTTTGCCAACGTGAGTGACTAAGGTCCTGCACGAAACTTGCGCACTGTGGGGCCCGTAGTGTGCACAGTCCCACACCCACAGTGTGTACAGCCCACACTCACAGTGAGCACAGCCCACATTGTGCACTGTTCTGTGTCCGTTTTGCTCTGGCGCCGTCGAGCGCTGGCAGACCTTGAGGCTGTAGCCTTCGCACACACTTTCCTGCCAGATTGGTCGGCGATTTCGCTTTTCCGGTGCATGCAGCGCCGGCTGCTGAGGGCGCTGCAGCTTAGAGTCAGCTCAGCTGAGTCGGTCGCCACCACCTGATGCAAGGAGGGGAACTCGGCAATAGTTCCAAAAACGCCAACTTTCTCTACTTTGTTGATTTTTTGCTTAGGTCACTTTTATCTCGCTTTTTATATATAGTTGTTCACACATGCACGCTAGGGTGTCATGCTATTGTGTTGAAGTTTCCCATGATAAATTCTACGGGATATAGATATTGTCTGTAACGTTAGTATACCAAAACACGCTATCAAATATAAAATGAATATTTATGTCAATTGCCTACCAGCGAGCGAGCAGCTCGCTACAAATGGCGTTTCAATCACAAGAGCGTGACGCGGGATGACTTGCTTTGTGTGTCAACTTGTGCTATGTGTCTTTCCGAAACTTTCCTCACTGTTGGCCTCTGTAAATACTCCGTCAATCCACAACTGCCGCCTTGATCTCAATCGATGCTGTATCTAATAAGGGATGATTAGCCCCCAGTCGGGCGGTGCTGTGGTGTGCTGTGCGGCCGCCCTGTCCCGCCCTCGCCGGGCGGACAGGGTCACGCCGTTGCCACCGTTTCCTGGGCAGGGTCGGCGGTGCCATGTACCGAGGCCACTCGGCCGGCCGTGCGTGCAGCAGCGGAGGCGTGCAGAAAGTGCAGCCACCTCCTGGTACCGCACACCGTCCCCGTCCCCCGGTAGCCGCTCAAGGCAAACTCCGATAATGGCTCGTGTATTCGCTGAGGTCCACTCGGCAGAACCGTTAGTCAGGGAGGTCACGCAATTAGTCGATAACTAGGTATATCAAAACGCACGGCACCGGCGGCAGTCTGCTCTACACGTATGGCATCGAAATGCGCGGCATGGGCCATAGCGGCGGCACCATTGGCGTAACAGGTGAACCTCCGGTCAGATTTGGGGACACCCTATGATAGCGGAACGTCCAGTCGACTCACCCCACCCACAGGCAGTTTGGCGCGGATATAACAAAACACTCGCTCCATCAGACAGCTCAGCATCAGATGATAGGACACTTATTCAGACTCCCGTCACAGACGTTCCATAAAAAGACGCTCCATAAATCGCCACCTATGGAGATAAATACGCCCTCCTTCGGCCTCGCTCCGGGAGTGACGTCAGCTCCGTGAGCCGGGGGATGACGTCAGGGGACACTGCGCCGCCGGCGGCGCGGCCGGAGGCGCTGTGGAGATGAAGAGGCCGACCCGCGGTGCTCCACGCGCTCGCGGCTCGGCGCAGGGAATCCCGGGACGAACGGACGGCCGTCTGTGTCGCCGTGTGGGTGGTGACGAAGCACGTCCGTGGGTGACACAAAGGCACCTCCTGGACGACTGCACGGCGGCGACAGAACGACGGCACAGCGCTGACCCGCGCCCTCAGACCGTTAGCCCATTGACGGGCCAGTCAGACTCGGCGACGACGGGTCAGTTGAGAGCCGGTCCCCCGACCTGCCGTGACGGCCGCGCCGCGCCGCCACCGGTCTGCCGGAGCTCTCAGCGGCGAGCCGGCGTGTCCCGGCATCACATTATTTAATATCACTTTATCACACGTGTGTCTACAGTGTCTACGGCGGTCGGTAATGCCTGCAGGGGCGCCGCGGGGCGCCGGTGACGCTCGGGGCGCCCTCAGACGTCGGGCGCCGGGTCGCAGGAGGCGCGCCGAGAGCCAGGCGTCGGGTCCGTCGACTGGCGTCTGAAACAAAATCAAATATGGAGTTAGAACCGTAGAACGAGTCGAGTTTCAACGGCAAGAACACAACCATAGACCAGCCAACGATCTCCAAACCCCATCGGTGCTACCGCTGCTGAAAGCAAAACCTAGTTCTCTTTGTTCTCTTCGGCACAGCAACAAATGGATAATTTTATGCATCTTGTGGGATTACTTTCCAACAACAGAACGAACTTCCCACGGTTGCTGCTAACCACATTTTCAACAAAGACCTTTCTTTTACGTTGTAGATTCTATACTGGACAATGTCCACATGTGACGGGGCGCTGTCCGCGGTTCATAATTCACCAAGTTGTCTCGGTACGGACCTAAATTGCCGGCCGGACGGTCGCAGCACGGCGTTCCCATGTCTAAGCTGCTGGGAAGTCGCCGGGGGCTGGGAGCGCGAGCGACGTCTATTTACGAGTCAGCGCAGGTACTGAGTCCAGTGGAAGGACTGGTAGGTACCAGGAAGTTCGGACTTATGCAGGAGGAGGGACCCGTTTAAACCGGTCTTTAGCGATGATCGGATTAGTGTCATGTGACCTTGTGTTGTGCCGTCTGTTCGAGGTGATTCACGCAGGAATAAACGAACGTTTATGTTTGTCGCGGGACAGCATGCCGTGGGCTCATCCAGTCAGTTCGGTGGGTTTCAATATTCAGATGTGCGCTCACCTTGTCAGCTGTCCACGGGCGTCCTGTGTATGGAACACGATGATGTTGGATGTTCGCGAGTCGCGCTTCTCCAGCGGCGCGTGCAGACCGCCCGATGGACAGCTCTCGACCGGCACGTTCAGGAAGTGGCTGCTGCCGCGCGACGAGCCGGCGCGCGACAGGGCCGACGCGCCGAAGCTGGACGAGGCGCTGGAGGCGGTCGACTGGGCTGAGTCGCGGCGCGCCTGGCGGATCCTGCGGAACTGCTCCTGGAAGGACGGGTGGTCGCCGTCCGGTACCGGGTGCGAGCTGGCTGACATTGATGACGCCGTGGACATCTTCGAGTCGGTGCGCTCCAGCGCTGACTTGCCGGCACCGGAGGGCGAGTCAAAGCCGCCCTGCGGCACCTCCAGGTGGTGGCTATTGCGCTTGAAGCTGAACGACTTGCTCGACTTCTTGGAGTCGGTGCGCTTATTGAGCTTAGCGTGCAGCGGGGTCTTGGGCGGGTCCATCTCGAACGCGACGTTGTCGACGCCGCCTCGTGGGTCTGTGCTGCTGTCATCCTTGCCTCGCTTTGAAAGACGTCTGCAAGAGATAAACAGGGGTCAGATCAATGCGTCAGTTTACCACCCGCAGCTAACAGCTCCGCATATGTCAAAACACGTCAACTACCCTGAAAACAGCACCTCACGCAATACACCTCCGGCTCAGGGTGTCCGTCCAACTAATCTCCACATCCGGCAGACGACTCAACCTTGACTGCCCTTCTCAAAATCGAGCCCACACACGTCCATCACCCGTGTAGTTGCAGATCAACACAGCTGGAGGTCAGGCTACCAGGTCAGACAGCCGGATCCCTCACCTGATCAGTTTGGTGGTCGCCTCAATTCCAGCACTGATGGGCTCCTCCAGCTTGGGGATCTTGATGGTGCGCCTCTTCCTGGACTCCTCGGACTCGACGATGAGGATGTGCCGGTCGTACGGGGTGCCGAAGTCCACCTCCAGGATCGTGGAGAAGGTGTGGGGGTAGACGAGGTCGACCAGCGCCGCAGCCACGCCCACCATCATACAGATGATACCTGCAGGAGGCGAGGAACAGACGTCAGCGGTGGGGGATGGGAGATGGGGAACGTCCGCTTTGAGAAGGGCGGAGTAAACCGTGACCGATTGATAGAGATGCTGGCATTGCTGTAAATGAGATTAACTGTTATTCCAAAGACAAATTTCCTGTACTGATGCAAACGTCTGGCATAGCGAGGAAACTTTGTGGAAACCGGCCATCCAGGGTCAGTGCATTATGTTCATTATAAAAATAGCTTCCAGTTACCCTGAGACCTTGATTAGGAATAATTTCCTTCATTTAAGGAATCGCACACAAGGATTCGTAGCCTATAACTGATTGAAATGTTATCCCTTCAGCCCAATTTACCTGCGATTCAATTAAATTTCATGCCCCACAAAACACGTCATGTCATAAAAACGACGACCAGAGTTTTCAGCCACCCACAAAGATGTCAACCTCTCCCCCATTGTCCACCCACCTGCAATGAGCACCAGGTAGAACTGCCATCCGAGCGACATGTTGAGCACGGCGTCCTCGAAGCGGATGGCCAGCGGCCGGCTCGGCTTCAGGCAGGTGTAGAGCGCACAGGCGGCCACCATTAGCGCCCCCGTCACTACCATCATGTAGGCGCCGTAGCGGGGCACGTTGATGAGCAGCAGGTTCATGAGCAGCCAAGAGGCGAACGCCGTCCTGAAGAGAGGAGAGGAGGGCGTCATACGGAGTGGTGATAACTGATGTCCGTTGGACAGAAGACGGGTCATTTAGCGAGTTTTTTTTTCGCCTGTGAGTCAACACACTAAGCACGTTCAGATGCAAGTTTGGTCAGTTAGCTCGTGTTCCGTTCATGTACTTTTTATATGGTAATAAGCTGTGATTCGTATGTCATAAAAGGTCATTTTAATCCAATATGATCTCATATGGGAATCCTTTATCATCTCAACAAGATAAAAACAATTTGGCTGAAATTATATCGCCGCTGATTGCCTTGTATTAAAAACAATTCATGATGACTAAGCGGCCCGGGGCATGGCGTGCGCCGGATCTACGGTTTGTGGTGATCAGACCGACCGGGACCGGGGCGAATTTCCTCCCTCGGCCGAGGAAACGGAGCCTGGCGGCCGGGGAAGCGGGGCCTGGTGGTGCCAACTTCCCGCCTGCGCCGTGGGCGGGCGACAAAAATGCCCGGCCATGCCAGCCAAGGACATATCTGTCATGAGAAACACGATAAACGGCGACCGGGCCAGGGCGATAGGTGGAAATGTGGTCGGTGGAGCTGGGGCGTGCTGTGCACGGGACACGCTGTGCACGTTGTGCATGCAGTGCACGGCGGGCACCACGCCCTGTGACCGGGAGGGTCACCCACGGACAGATTCCGTGCAGCTGACTCGCCGAGCGGGGTTCATGACTTGCTCCCTTCCGTCACCTGCTAGGCCCATCGCAGCGTGGCTGGCAAGGTCGCAGTGCTCATCAGAATGCCGGACTCAGCGGGTTTATCATACAATCCACCTGCTCCTGCACGCAGCCTGCGTGCGAAACCGGCCCCGGACACGCACAGAATTGGAAATAGAGCCGATGAATCACCGCCGTCAGAAGTGAGAGTTGCTACCCGACGCAAACCCGATATTAAACCTCACAAATGTCTAGCTCTGTCTCCGGCAATACGCCCAACAAATCTGAGATGAGCTTGCTGCCTTCCGACAATATTCAATGCAATCCCCAAACATAGTTCGACGGGCATCTTGTGCCGATTCACCGTTAGTATGCATAGCTGGGCGTCGCGGCGGATGCCTTCCACTAAAGAGATCCATCAGTGCCAAATGATGGCGTGCGTGTTTCCGGACGTTGCTCGGTTCCGGCCGCACTGGTAAGGGATAATCCACCGGCGCGGCGCGTGGAGCCGCGGCAGTGACCTCGGCTGCACGTGTGACCGTGCTCGCTGACTCCGGGCCGGGCCAGCTGGGCGCTCTGTGTCGGCGCGCGTGCCGTACCGATCACGGAAGGTGCGTCACGCGTACGCACGTCACGGAGGGCGCGTGACGCCACCCAGTCTAGTCGACAATGTGCGGTGCGCCGGGCTGAGAGCGCCGGCTGGGTAATTATGCCGCCAGAGAAACCTGACGACTTCACAGGCCCATAGGCCGTCCGCTGTTGGGTAACCGGAATTAGTTGGGCTGGCTGGTGACGGCGCCGGTTCACAGACGAGTTGCATAGACACTCGTGCGTCGTACGAACAAGGAATTAAAGAAATTGTATGCGAGTATAAGCTGCGAAGTGCGAAGCAAGTGTCGTCTAGGCTTCACTGCTAATGCGCTGCCTCTACGTAAAGTACGCAAGCATATGTGAGTTAACCATGTAGTTCATAAAGCACCATAAATGATTTTGTATTGTAACTAAATGTGCCGAGAATGCTAATAAACTTGCGGTGCCCGAAAATAGTAACACCTCTCAGATTCGTTCGACATTTTCCAAGCACTGAGACACCATAGCCACGCCTTTAGAAAACAACTAAATATCGTTAGTTCGACTGCCACTCCATGTCCAAATCCACTCTTACATAGAGCTAGTAAATTATGTTTTCGACAGGAGCACTGATATTTATTTAGGCTGCCGAATGTAGTTCCGAATTCCGTCTTGCATCGGTTTTCTGTTCTCAGCTGGAGCTACAAAGAAGGTACCACTTCCTGCTGGTTATAGTCCACCGGACAGTTGCTTCTGCCACCTTCTCCTTCCGTTACAGTACGCCTGAATCACCCTGCATTCCTGCTGACCTGAGTCAGCTTCCTGAGGTGACCTCAGACCTGATCTTCCGGATCTCTTTCCTGGCTCAATGCATTCTGTCCTATCCCGTGCGTCCGTCCATCCGTTCGTACCCGTCCGTACTCCCGTCTGTCCCGTCTGTCCCTCCGTCCGTCCATCCGTCAGTCGGTCCGTCCGTCCGTCCGTCCATCCATCCGTCCGTTCGGACGATGACGTTTGACCGAGCGCCGGCTGACCCGTGCCGTTTCGCCGCTCTCTGGCGCCGGGCTGGCGCCGTTCCGCCCCCACTATCTCCTCCCCGACTGATCGGCCGTCGTCTGACGCACCACCTCACTCTCCGCTGATGAGCCTTTTCTTCTGCGCCAACTTTCGCCGACCAATGTCAAGAGCAGCGCGGTGGGACTGATGGCGCGGACCTCGCTCCCAGCGCGAGCGCGGCGGCGCGGCGCCTGGCGGGTGTTTCGGAGCGCGGGGCGAGGTTTACACCAACACTGATGTGCTGTGAAGTGTGACGTTTTTGTGTCCAGTGGTGAGACGCTGATCAGGTGTGTATCGTCCTATCCAGGGACGCTTCATCATCGGAGACGACAGCCGTGAAAAGCGAAAGGCGCAACGCTCTGAAGCGCTTCGTTTATGCGAGGGGCGTTTTAGTGGACAGCACATGGAAATGCGTCAGACGTTTCCAAATTCTGCAATCTTGAAAACCATCTATCTCGGGCTGCTTGCACAATAAATAAAATATGGAATAATTAGAATCAGTTTGGTTGTCTCTAGATACTTCAGTTCACTTCTAGCTGCAATCAAATTTTCTAAGAACTAATGAAGCGAAAAAGATAATGGAAACATGAAATGCCGTTCACTTCTCATGCTATTTTGATCAACCCATGGCATTTTGCGCAAGTTTCCTCAACCCGAAATGTCACAACTGTTATTTTCCTTAAATATTTTCCTTCTCTGAACTTCATGCTCTTGTTCGTGTTCTTACTTTGTAATCACACATCCATCGTTCACGTTTATATGTCGCAACCTCAGAGCCAGCACGATCGTATTTGGAAGGCAAACATAGTGCTATCCCAACGACAATACCGACAGATTTATTGGTGCTTGTAACGTGCCTCTGTTTGCGGAGGCCCAAGTTTATCTGACTGGCCACGAATGCCGTGTGTGGGCCCACGGCGCGCAGAGGCGGCCGGCCAGGAGCCCGCCGTTTTATGACCGATCTCCTCCCCGCTCGGTGGTACAAAACGGGTCTCATCCCTTCTGAGCGGCGCTGAATACCGACGACCAACCGGGTGTCGCAAGCGACGCGCCCGCCGCCTCAGTCGGCGACGGACGGGCGACGCGACTTCTGTGCGGCGCGACGTCTGCCAGGAGTCGTCGTCACACAGCCGTCGCCCCGATTGTTGGCGGCGCTGGTCTCTGAGGGAGTCGGCAGCGGCGGCCGGGGCGGCGCCTCAGCCCCCCGGCGCGTGACGTGTGTTGTAACACGGGCCACCGATGAGGCCGTCTCTGTATCTGTGCCGGCAGACAACCCTCTGAACAGCCTACGGGTCGACGTGAGACGGCGCCGCTCCGGCTGAGTGGGTCACAGCGGCGAAGGAACTGTGAGTTCGCTGGAAGCTCGCTGCTCCACGTAGGCTGTCGTGCACTGCGCATCATGCACTAGCGACCCTGTCTTGTGCAAGCTTGGTGGGGTCACACCACATCGTGCCTTTGAATTGCCCATTGTGTGAACTTCCTGTAACCCAATGAACGGGTCGTTCGGCTCACAAGTATGCACTGCGGTGTAGAGCCGGGGGAAGTATTGCCGTCACAAAATTCACTCTCTCTTTCGATGCTGTGTTTAAAGTCAGCGTGCGCAACGTGGTCAAAATCACTTTATATGCAACCCCATGTTGTATGCCCAGAGCTGCCCTATGTTGGCTCTGTTTGTCACGATCTCAATAGAATCTTGAACGAAGTAAGTACAACGTGCACAGACCAGAGCAGGTACTTGATCGCCGACGATACCAAACCGATATAACTCTGGCGCGACTGTCGAGAGAGGCGATCTCAGCATTAGCGGGAGGATCAGCAGCAATCTTGGAGCGCTACTGAGCCCGTTATCTATCTGCAGTTCTGAAGGCCAGCAGCGCTCCGAGCGTGTCTCTGCGACTCATTTGGAGCAGTTTTCTGGTGTGCAACTGCTGCACCGTGCACAGATGGAGGGGAAGGGAGGGGAGGGGAGGGGAGGGCGGTGCCAACAAACAATGTCCCGTTGGTTGTCCAGTTGGCCCTCAGCCGGTGCCGGTTCCCCTTCCCAGCCGGTCTTCTTTGGAACTGCGACGCGCAAACAACGAAAAACCGGACCAATCGGACTGCTACCCCGTATACCTTGGATGGAGACTTGAGAGTGCAACAGGCTGTGATAAAATGCGCTCAGAGGCTTTGTCGATGTGTACCGCCGGATCTCAACATTTGTAAACCATTTCCAATACAGACAGCCACTGAATACTGATGCCGCAATAGACCGCACAAACAATTATTCAACAGTTTGCATTTGCAATCGTCTTCTTCTGTTGATACCATATCCAACACAGTAAAGTTTGATGACTTCACCAAATCCCAGATAGAATTATGTCTGGACGTTGTAGCATGTTTGCGACGACAGGAGACAAGCTCTGAGAAACTGAGCAGGCCAGAGCACCGTGGGAGCCGGCCAGGAGACAGTCAGCGGAGGGCTGAGAGGTAGCGTCTCACGACTGCGGTCAGCGGCCGGAGGCGACCGTAATCTGTCACCCGTCACCCGTCACCCGCCACCCGCCACCCGTCACCCACCCCGGCGGCGCCACTCGGCGGTAGTGAGCTGCGCGAACCTGCGGCTTTCACCGCTGCCGCCGCCCCTCCGCCGTCCCGGCGCCGCGAGAGGAAACTCAGCCCTCTTGTCGCCTGATCTCCTCAGAGAAGTTTACCCACTGGCGGCAGCATCGACCAGCTTCTGGATTGTCCCGGCTCAAGTGTTGACTCTGGGACGGTGATTCAGGAGTCGTTCACTGTGCGGCACTTTGTCGCCCGCATTCGTGATGTGGATAGATGTTTCTTGCAGCGTACAAGCGTGCAACGAAAAATGACTCGGACAATGGGGTCTGCTGCATCCTGCAACTGTATCTTGTTTGTCAGGGCAGTGAAAATCATGACATCACCTCTCAGATCTTCAAGGCTGCTGCCAGCTGCGCAAATCATGGGCGCTCTTTCGACGGCATCGTTTGCCGCATGTGCTACTACGTCTTGCACACGCTGACAAATGCAGGTCAAACAGATTGCAGCCACCGGATCCGGCGTTGCATAATGACCGAGCGAAACAGGGAAGACCCAGCCAATCGCTGCATGACTGGGCAGAGCGGCAAGGCTCGGGTCGGCGCGGCGCGGGGTGGTCCGATCGTGACTGACGCTCGGTCTCTCCACAGACTGTCCCGTTCTATCACTACACCTTTGTCGGGCTCTGCTTTCGGGGCGGACCGTCCAGTTGGGTGGATGGCCAGTCGCGACAGCATCCACCCCCTCCACCATAGATAACTATGTTTGTCAGGGTCACCCGTCCGCCGGCGGTGAGGCGGAAAGCAGCGGCACCTTCTGACCCGTCTGCCAGTGGCGTTACAGAGCCAATCCCGCCCGGTGGGTGTCTCAGAATCACGGCGCCGTCTCGAGCTCGTGACGTGTGCCGTACTCTACTAGCCGAACCAGGCGCAGGTGCCGCCGGTCGAGGGAGAGCTACAGACTGCAGAGCACAAACTATCGCGGAGCGGACGGCAACAGAGAGTCATCCGGGGGCGGGGTGGCCTCCGGGACCCTGCACCGCCTCGCCCAGTCTGCAGGGACGGCCCGGGTCGTCGGGTCAGCCGGCCTGCTCTCCGTTCCCACACCTCATCTCAGTCCGTGCGTCACGAGATACGCCCCAACTGCGTCACGAGGCACACCCCAACTGCGTCACATGTGTACCGCGCGAGCCAGCAAACGTCACCGTCTCACGGCCACCGCCACAGAAGGCCGCGCTGGAAATCCGTCAAGCTGACGCCTGTTTTACCGTCGCCTGGCACTGGCAGCTGGCCACACAACTAGCACGTAACCAGCGCAGATTGGCGTGCTACCTGAGCTGGTGAGAACACCCTCCGGGCGCGTTGGGCCCAATGTTTGCAGTCGCGACATTCGAGCTCCAGCTGTCGCGCGCGACCGGGCGCCGGGTGCAGCTCCGACCATCGCGCGGGTGTTCGAACAGTGGGTGAAAGTTGCTGAGAGGGTTCTCTGAGTGACTCTAGAGGGTTCTCCGGGGGACTCGAGTGACGTCACACTCACCAGATGATGATGTGGGTGTAGTAGCCGGCGACACGCAGCTTCTGTCCCCAGAGGAAGCCCTCTGAGTTGGTGCTCAGGTACTCCGCCACAGTGAGGATCGGGTACGGCAGTCCTGGCGAAGAGAAGAGACGGATGGTCAGAGAAGAGCTGCAGTTAGTTCTTGTCTCTATGATTATATGGGCGTGAACGTCTTCTGACATCACGTGATTGATCGTGTCGTTTTGTTTCTATAACCGGTTATGGAGCGTTACATAAACAGAAGAGTTCATGCCCGGTATCTGAGCTATACACGTCATTTGGGTTGGGAATGTTCACACAATATGTCGTCACTTGACGGCAGTGATTGCATCTCGGGTGATTGATTTTACTGCCTTCCTTTCAGTGCCTCAATGGCCGTGCGGTACCAGAGGCTGGCCCATATAATTATATAACTGGACGGGTGAACCTCGCATACCGGTGTCGACAAGTCAAAACCTATAAAACCGACTTTTTCTCACAGGCAATTGGCGATAAAGGGACTACCGTAAAAAAATACCGAAACACATTGACAGCGCTTATATCTGACTCCGTAAAACGAAGCATCCCAATCTTTAAAACCAAACGTCCCAAAATGAAAACCGCAAGACCGCTATATCGAATATCGTTAAACACCTTTATAGCAAGACGTGCCCGTCCTTCCCGCCTCCCTCACCTTTCACGAGCGCGGCGCGGTACTCGTTGCGCATCTGCTGCGGCTGGATCCACTGGAACCGCTCGTTGAAGTCGATGTCACCGTTGTGCTTGCTCTCTGGCAGCGCTGTCGGCGGGAGGCAGCAGCGTTAGTGGAGCGTAACGCTGGACTCACTGCGCAAGCGATGCTGATAGCCGTGAGTTTATGATCATCGTGGGGTGAGACTCGTGGGCTTCAGACCGTGGGTTGTGGAACACCATGGACTATTGCTCGTGAACGTGATCTAAGACTAGAGATCTAGGACTCGTGATCCAAGACTCGAGAGGGACACGAGCGAGGAGGATAAATCCTGGGACGGTTCACCCGTGGAGCCTGCCGGCACGCGGCGCGGCGGCGCGGTGGCACTTTCTCGGGCCCTCTCCGTGCTCGCTCGCCTGTCGGGCCAATTCAGTGTCCACGTGTCAATGGCAAATGACCTTGTAGCTTTCTCGCCACGGGCCTGGCGGCGTTCGGCCGACGGGGGCGGCCACTCTGTCCAGCGCTCCCTCAAACTCCACCGTTAATAGCCCACGTCCTAGCCGGGGGAACGGATCGGTCTCAGTCGATCGGAGCGGCCCCGTGTCGTCAGCGACGGCGACGACGGAACGGAGGACCTGTCCGTTTTCGCTGTTCCGCCTGACTTCCAGCCGCCGGACAAAGAACTCCAGCCACCGATACTTTTGTCCGCCACCGGCAGGTAGACAAAAAACGGCACGCGCTGGTCGTCCAGCTCGGCATACGTGATGCTTATGGTCGGTTGTGTTGGTATTCCTGGCGCGTGCTCGTTTGATGGGAGCGGTTTCGGTCACTGCGCCGCCCTCTACTCCGCCCCCAGCCCTCCCTAAAGCAGACCGACTGACTGAGAAACGGGAGCGAAACTACCTACTGACTGACGTCAGCGGCCGGCGCGCCGAGCCGTGCAGATTAACGGCAGAGATAGTGCAGCGCATGATCGCCGCCGCCATTTGAAATTTGCCGGCCGGTATGTATGGGTTGTCCGTGGGAATCCTCCCCAAAGCAGGATTTATTCGTCACTCCATAACCATAGAAGCCACCGCAAGCAGCCGTTCAAAAACCACTCGACCTTCATCAGAGTAAAAATACGTGCATGCCATCTTTTACGTAGAACAAGGCCTAAAACTATCCTATTAGAATGAACAGTTATTCACAAAGGCTCGATGCAAAGGGCTGGGAATTGTCTGTCTGAAAGCACGGCTGGTGGTCTCAGTATGCATCCCCGGAGGATGCTGCGCCGCTAGACATCTCCCGTGTCCCAGCCCTGGAGTTAGAGGTCACTGACAGCGACTGCAGCTCGCCGGCACTGCACACATCCACCGACCCGACCGGGGGGCGGGGGGTGGGGGAGGGACGGGGGGCACGCCGCGAACCCAACCGAGCCGCGCGGCCTTGCACGAGCGCGCTCCCTGCGAGTAGCGAGAGCAGATACAGGCGAGCTGCGTCCAGAGCACAACTGGTGGTCTGAGTGTTTTTGTGTATTTGATTATTTTTCATTATTAAATGCAATACAAGTGTGAGTGACATTCCAGGGAGCTGAATAGCCTTGTATTGTGGCTGAATTAAAAAAGACACATCATACCCTGCAGAACTTTGCTGCATTCTGTCTCGTTACCCATATGGTTTCATTTAGTCAGTTAATCCAAATGAATAAGCTGTCTTAAAAAAAGACGAGATCCGCCTTCTGCTAAAAGTGTCTTCGTATGAAAAACCGCAGCTGCATTTGACCTTGCATTCATCTTCTTTACAATCGGTTTAACAGAAAGCGTTGTAAGTCTCAAAGGCCTTAATTTAGGACATATGATGATATTGTGGGTTCATTCGGGCCAACTACCTATAGGCTAATCTTCAAATTTCGTGGGGGAAAAGTGCATTTAGGAAAGGGTTGTCCGATATCTTTAAGGTAAAAACCGCATCGCCTTAGCGGTTACATGGCATCAGCAGCTCATGGGAAAGAATTGCATGGTCTCCGCTTTGCCTGCTATGTAAAACAAAGGAACACTGCATTGTTATCAACAGGATACAGACATTTTGACTTGTCTCCTGGAAACGGTTGTTAAAATTCGGTGAAAGCAATTATCTTCAAGGCTGACTTTAGTTGCGTCAATGGTTTCGAGCGATCCCGCCCATCGCATCTCTGAGATAATGGCTCATCTCTGGAGCAAAAAGTGCCCATCCCGTGCGCCCGTGGTCCACCCCCGCACCCCCGACCCGTCAACTCGCCGGCCGGGTCAGGCCGGGTCGTGACCGTGCCGGGTCACACGGTGTCCAGCACCGGTCGCGGTCGCACGAGCGTGACTGTCACGTGACCGGCCGGCACGCGCCTCTAACGTGACCGGCCGTGTCACGACCCGAGCGGCCGTCACAAAGACAGCGTGACGCCCGTGACGGTCCGGCCGGCCGCGGCGCCAGCGCGACACTCGCGGCGCGGCCACTCCAATATGGCGGACATGAATGTCAATCTGCCGCCGCAGAAGCCGAAACATCGATGGCCCAACAGTGAAGCAACAGAGAGGAATCACTTCACCGCAAACCGTTGCAATCCGGACTGGTCCCAGGGAGGTGGCCTACCGAAGCCGCGACTGGGCGCTGTTGCACGCTTCCTTTAGAGGAAAGGTCGCCAGAGGTGGGAGGTCAGGTCATTACTCCGAACGGGAACGAGCGGGGCCACGTGGATCCTGACCTCTTTAGACGTGGTTACAAAGGCTCCGCGACCGCCGCCTTTACGAGTTACGAGCATGGCGGTGCTATGCACACGCCAGCCGGGACATTGATAGACAAACACGTAAAGTTTGACAGCATTTAAACATGCAAGATTCGTGCATGCGTGCATACGTGCATGTATGCATACACGCGCTTCCGCTATCGCGTAGTTGAAGTTACGGGTTTCCATTGCAGCGTGATTTTCCTAATCGATCTGCGTTTGGTTTCCTTTATAGATACAGACACTGCAAATGAGCACGTTAGCTGTTCATTTCCCGTTCTGCAGATACTGCTATCGCACCTCAATGTTTCCTATAACCGACCGTTCGAGCACGCCTGTAGTTCCAGCACCGATCGGGCCCGGTTTCCGCGCGCGGCTGTCGGGGCGCACTGCCCCGGTGGCGGCGACTGACCTTTCAAGGTGACGTTGACATGGTTGAGGCCGATGTGGACGCCCAGGTCGGCGCTGAGGCTGTCGGCCGAGAACGCTCGGTAGTAGGTGTTGATCTGCACCATACCCGTCTGCCACTCCGAGCCGGTCGCGCCCACTGAAATGAAACAAAAAATGTGATCAGTTGTCAAAAGGGTAAAGACTCTCTCAGTTGCCATTTTATCGCGGAGATTATGAGCACCATAACTTTGCCTGCACATTGTAGTGGAACTCAAAGAAAGCCATTTTGTCAATGCACTAAGATGGCACATGTCAGATAGCTGATTGATTTTCTTTAATCTAGCCGACCGGCTGACTGGCGAGACTCGGGTGCCTACTTCTGCAAAGTAGACGGCAGACAGGGGGAAGCAGTCACCAAGGTCAGCGTTATTCAGATGTCTGCGCCCGTCACACTGCAAGTGACCGTGAATCCTGCACAGTCTGCACTGGGGCACGCGGCTGCTGCGGCCTGCGCACAGCCCTAATGACCGTGGAACGTCGTCTCTAGCGCGGCCCTGGCGGTCCAAGGTGTGCACGGTGCGCGGTCCCCGCGGCTCTGCAGAACGTGCGTAAAAATGACCGCCGTCCACCCCCCCCCCCCCCAGCGTCCTACCCTTGGGCCAGTGGAGGGAATTTCGAGGCTACGCACGTCGTTTGCATGCTGCATGAGTGCTCAAATTATATTCAGCCTTAGAAATTCCATGGCTGGAATGTGAGAAATATGGAACTTAGGCAAACTGAAATTTAGTACTGAATTCAAGAAATGTTATGAGAATGGTATGATAATGTTAAATAGTTTTTTTTGCTTTAATTTTCCTGTTACTACATCATTATGAACATCAGAGGCAGTCTCACAATTACTGTGTCACTTAGGTACATTGTTGGTGTTATTCTTATTTGTATGTCTATCTCCACGAATCGACAGAGAAAGCAGTGGACAAATAGAGCCCCATACGTTCAGTTATGTAATCGATAATGTATGTCCCCGTTATAGGCCATTTCAGGCATTTACCGTCCAGCGCGCACGGCACTGTGGGACGCAGGATAAATCTGTTTCTATTAGAAACTTGTTCCGGCGGCCAGGCCCCCAATTTTCCGGCACCACGTTCCCAGCCGCTATGTGCGCCGACTGGACACGGTTTGTCAACACATCAGCTGACCGGCAATCAGCTGCTGCTCAGAGTTATGGTTACTGTCCGGACAGAGTTGTCAACGTTAGGACAGGGGACAGAATGTGGACGGAGAAATGAACTGAGGCTGCTGAGGGTAGGTTCAGCTGGTTCAGAAACGATGCTCTCTCACTGGAGTGGGTAAACGAGAGTGAAGGTGAAGGTACTCATGCAAATATAGCCAACACAAAAAAGGTGGAACAAGGTAATACCCAGACACAGGTATATGCTACCGTAAACTATCCAAACACGCTAATTACTGAACGCTGACCCGCCACCAGCAGTGCTGAGAGCTATGCTCTCCACTCTCCAGTCTCCACTATACCCTGGTGTGCTGGGCGACTGGACCGGATCGGCAGCCCGGCTGGGAGGCTGGTCAGTAGCCACCGCGCCGCGCCGGCTCGCTCGGAAAGTAAGAGGAGCGCAGTCAGCCGTGGCTGGCCGTCGCTTTCAGCGCCCCTGGTGAGCCTCGTGAGGAGGGCCGGCCCGACCGACCTCAGACCAGCCCGCGGAGATTTTATCACAGCCGTATACCGGCGGAGATGACCGCTTACAGCGCTCTAATAGAAACATTCTGTCTTTTATTGGAGCTAGAACCAATCCATTAATTTTGTCGACTGCTGTTTTCACTATGGATGATTACAATTTACAACACCGTTTAAATAAATGGTCACTTTTTCTTTCATGACTTTCCATTTTCATCATTCGCCGTCCCTAACCTTTACTCCCTTTCCAGTCCAAGTCTGTCGGTATCTCGCTTATCTGACCCTGAAGAGACGCCGCGTCCACCTCCACAACTACCCATTCCTAACCCTCCGTTCTGACAACACAGTCCCGCCCGGAGCCCTGCGGCTCTGGACCGGCCGCGTCCCACCGAGTCCGAACGCGGAACCGGCGGTGCCGCCGGCCGCTGTGACCCACATCGTACCGCCGCCGGCAAGGCTGTCCGACGCGGGCGCGGCGCCGAGAGGCAGTGGTGGCGCACCGGTGACCAGCGCGGCGCACGTGAGAGCTTCCGCGGTCCACTTGGATGGGAACACGTGAGGGAACGAGTTTCATGGATGATTGGAGCCGCAAAGATTAGGGTAGGCGGTAGGTATAAAAAGGACAGAACATTATGAGAGAAGAAGAGAAAAAGAGTGGCAGTAAGAGTGAGAGTCTTAGTAAGAAAGTGAGTAGGTGTGTGTGAAAGAGGGAGAAAGAAAGAAAGAGAGAGAGAGACATACAGACAGAAAGAGAGAGAGAGAGAGAGAGAGAGAGAGAGAGAGAGAGAGAGAGAGACAGACAGACAGACAGACAGACAGACAGGGAGACAGAGAGACAGAGAGAGAGAGAGAGAGAGAGAGAGAGAGAGAGAGAGAGAGAGAGAGAGAGAGAGAGAGAGAGAGAGAGAGAGAGAGAGAGAGAGAGAGAGAGAGAGAGAGAGAGAGAGAGAGAGAGAGAGAGAGAGAGAGAGAGAGAGAGAGAGAGAGAGAGAGAGAGAGAGAGAGACAGTGAGATATTGAAAAAGATAGACAGAGATAGACTGAAAGACAGACATCCAAGGAGATGAACAAAGATGATGAGCAAAGATGACAAGCAGGATGAGTCTCAACCATAGACAGACAGGAAGAAACACGATGTTGTAAGGCCAAAGTCAAGAGAAGCAGCAGCCTTATTGTGATACCAAGCCATTCAAAGGAAGAAAGCACTGGTGAGAAGATGACACAGCCGATCCCACAAGCACGGACCAAACAAAGGTGACGGTTATTGACGGATGCCGCCGACACTCAGTGACTGCGTGACCCATAGCGTCTGGGATTGCCCACTGTTGGCGAGCTTGGACTTTCACGCGCTGGGGCTGGACGGAGAAGGGTGTGAGGGAGGGAGAGATGGAGAAGAGGGAGCGAGGGAGGAGAGCGGACGGACGGCAGATTAGAGAGAGGGATGGAGGTGCCGGCGAGGGGCGGCGGCCGCCGGTGGACGGCCGAGGCGACTGTTTCTCCCGCTGGGTCGAGAGCTCGAGAGGCGCGTCCGGTCGGGTCGAGCGGCCCAGGAGGGCGGTAGGAGCTCCCCCAACAGCAGCTCACCGCACCGACATCGGCCGGGAGGGGCCCTAATTAATGACCGGGTCGGGAGACGCGGCGGCCGGCTCAGACAGCCGCCGGCGGAGCCATTCACACCACGGACTTTCTCCCTCACAGAGCGGTCACCTATTCAGAGCAAACTTTTTGTAACTTCACATATAACACTACTGCTTTCTGCTTGGCTATCTTTAGAGGAATAGTGTGTCACCCTTGCTGTTTTATGCTATCTGTTTCTTAATTCGGATCCACCCATACAACGCCCTTTGTTCAGCAATATGTGTTCGTCAGCTTTCTGCGTTTCTTGTGGACAATCTTCTTTGTAAGAAGAGCGCACGCTGTAGCACAAATACCGTGGCAAATACTCGTACATCCCCTCGCGCACAGGCTTGAATAGTCAACGCGATGGGAGCACGCTGCAACCACCTTATACAACACGCTGACCTGCAAACTACACTCAGAGACGCAAAGATAAAAACGGCGAGCATTGGTGAGAGTAGGTGCGCGTTGTGTAATGCTAATGCATTCGAGCCCCTGCTTTGTACTCACGTGTAATGGCGATGCCAGTGAAGATGCTGAGAACCACACATGTGAACGTGGTGAATCGCTGAAACAAAAGGATAATTGATACATCAGACGTGACGTCATCAAAAATGATCGGCACACACAATGCTGACCTAGAGAAGGTGTAAAAATAGTATGCGCTTTGTAAATGGAACAGGAAACAATGCAAAGGGGCAGCGGCGTAAAATGCGAGCTGACATACATTCTGCATGATTAACAAAACGAGAGGCAAAAGGCACAGCCCTTATTGTTAGCATTTGGTAGGCGACAATGCTGCTTGAGGGGGTGCTGGGTGGTAAGTGCTACTGATTTTCAATCCACGACATCTATTTGATGAGTAGCTATAAAAGAATTCAATATAATTTTCAGCAAATATCAACTGTACTGCGCATGTTTATACGACTGAACGATTTCCTTTTTACACCGGTTCACCTTGGCTTACAGAACACAAATCTAGTTCATCGTTGTTTTTTTCTACGCCGATCTACTTCGAGCTGTCATCTCTAATACCAACGTGATACCGGTGGGCAGCATCTCTGACGAGTGGTCACGGTTGGTTTCCGTTCGTAGAACAGAAGAGCGGGGTCCGGTCGGTGTGGGACATTAGAGGCGAGCGGTGTGGGATCGGTCCACCGCCGCAGCTCTGCCAGTGATCGGCCACACCGCCTGTGACGATAGCGGCGCAGAGGCGGCAGTCCAGGTGCTCTGTCACACTGTCACTCGTGGGAGTCGAACACCGCAGGCACGCCACGAGATAAGGGACCATGACGGCGCGCACAGACCGCCGAATAGTCACAGGAAGTGCTGGACTGGGACATTTCAAGGTTTCCGACGAGTTCGGGACGACCATTTGACATCACTAGCTGGTGCTAGTGGTCCTGCGCGAATGCAGTCTCCATTGGTGCTAGCGCGCCTGCCAAAATTGCAGTCACTCGTTAGCGCCCTGTGCTGAACTGCAGTCTCCACCGGCTCGGTGAAAAGGCTTCACATTCAGGGCGCCCGCTTGGGAATACCAGGGCACGAGGGTGATGGATGGATAAGACTGGTATATGTGGGACCCTGCTGACTAAAACTAGACCACACGATGCCCGAACCGTCACTGTTTGACAGCGGACGAGCTGCGGGCGCCCGCAGGTGCGGACCGCGTGAGATCGTCACTCTGTTTTGCGGCGCAAACGGCGCTACGTGCGACCGCACCCGTCCGCCAGCGGTTTTAGCGAGTCCAGCTGAGAGTACCGCAGGCCAGTTGCCGGGTCGGCGAGGGTTTCTCTCGCTCTGACGTCATCAGCCCGAGCTGTAACACGCCACTCGCCCAGCTGCTGCTGAGCCGGTGGATAGTCAGCCGTAAAACCAGCACGCTATGACTGTAACGTCGTAAGTGTTCAGACACCTTCACGGCTGTATCGTCGCCAATGCGGATGACTTGCCGCTTGAGGAGGACGTCTCGGCTCTATGCGACCAGACGTGGAGTTCTGTTGATTAAGAGTGTGTGTAATGTGTGTCTAACGAAACTGTGAGACGGTCAGCTAAGTCTACAGACAAAAACTGCCGTAATCTCCCCTCAGTTTATCGAGAAGCAAAGGGAGATGGATTGGTCATGTTGCTGACCCGAGAGCAGAGTCTCCGACTGCGTTTTTTATGATGGGGTCTGCGATTTCCAGTGTCCGAGTCTGACGGTAAAACTGTCTGCACCACTCATCGTGTGAGGGTCCGCACTGTTCTCACAGCGTCACAGCGCATTTGATGGATTGCTGCAGAGCAAGACGGACACATCACAGGAGCCGTATCAAGTGAACATGCCTGGATTGGCTGTTGGCAGTGGGACATACTTCTACACTTCATTTTTCACTAGCTATGGATCCGAACCTTGCAAATGGTGAGAACATTTTATGAAAACACACTCATCAATCACTTGTGAGATAGGTACAGCACTCACAGAGAACTTCTCACGGAATGACAGCCAAGGAAAAGGTACTTACTGCTGGTTGAAAAATAATTGTTTTTTGTAGGAAGTATCATTAGAATATATGACCTTCTCCTCGGAAAATGACCAAATGAATGAAAATGATTATTTATTGATGAATTGATGATATTTCGGTCACAGACCTTTGTCTAAATCGAATTCGTTAAATCGTACAAGGCAAAAGTAGCGAGAAAAGTGACTCGCTACTTTTGCCTTGTACGATTTAACGAATTCGATTTAGACGAAGGTCTGTAACCGAAATATCATCAATTCATCAATAAATAATCATTTTCATTCATTTGGTCATTTTCCGAGGAGAAGGTCATACAGGGTGTCCAGAAAAAACGGATACTATTATTTTTTGCTGTAATTCCGAAAATAAACACCTTACATTTTAAAATGGCACATGCTTGTATTCGCCAAAATATGGCAAAACAGACAGCAGGTGCCACATGGCATGTAAACTCTTTGGTTAGTTGCGGCAGCTCCTCAAAGCAGACACTCAATGTGAGCGGCCTTACGGCGGATCAGCTCCAGCACTAGCACAGTCTGCAGGTGACTGATGGTCATGTTGACCATCTCGGAGGGCAAGCAGACAACTTTCCAACGACGCATTACAGTGCTCATGAGTTTTGCCAAATCTTGCACTATAAGCACATGAATTTGGAACAAAATCGGCACGTGCGTTAATGAATGCGACTTAATTTCCGTAGTATCTTTTTTTTCTGGACACCCTGTATATTCTAATGATACTTCCTACATTTATCATGCTCCTCGCAGCAGCTCTCAACGATAATTGTTTTGTATTTAATCAAAGAAATATTTTATAACGCACCACAATCAAAGCTCGCACATTGGCTTTCAATTTCTAAAAAACGGCAACTTGCTTACCTCAGTTAGACCAAAATAATCCTTTCGACATATCGTATCCTGCAAACTTGGAATGTCGAAGTGGCCCAGACTCACACCATTGTAACAGCTTATGATCGACGATCAGGTTTAAAATCAATGATATGCTATTGTCATAAAATAATATCCCAGCTAATTAGCGACTGACAGGGATGTAATTTTTGCGTCAAGTAGGATCGAAGTGATACATCTCTTTCAATACAGCATGTTTTAGACATTATCGAGGTTTATGATACAGCGTTATCTCAATTGTAATATGATTTTGATAGATGTTTGTTTAGCGCATTTGTTATGTCGAGCGCAGAAGCGCTGTGAATGCTCTAATGTCTGCAATATGCATAGACCGTCCATGACAGTAAAAAAGAAATGATAAGCAAACCATTGCAACATATTCATCTCTCGCTGGATCACTACTACATAGTACAAGCACCAATGAGGCAGCATCTGCTTATCATTAGAAATCTGTATAAGCAATAGTTTCTGCGTCTTGTATTCTTTGTTTTGTCTACGACCCCGGTTACCTACCGATCTGGCAGCATTTCTTACGCTGTCAGATAAACGTCATCGTTTTCTATGCTCATTGTTCGCATGCTAAACTGCAACAACGATGCATCTTATTTGTCCTACTTGCCATTGCAAGCACCCTTCTCTAATGCTTCAGATAAGTTGCGTTACGTCACCATCATGGCAGCTGACCGCAGATAAAGACTATCTTTGTGGGCAATTTTCACGTGATGACTCATTAACGGCCGCGCCGGGCCTAAACTGCCTATATCAGATCTGGCCCATTTGAACTAAATGTGACACGGTTGATGAAGCGAGCCATCTGAGCCACGAACTCACTGGCTAAAAAGTAAAAACGGCGCCTGTAGACCCTCACCATCATCGCCTGACCTTAGTGAGTAAGCCATCGCGGTGTGAATGATCGGGCTTCTCCAGGGAGAGGCCAAAAATAGGTTCAGATATCATCCGATTAAGTCAGATTTAGCGTGATCCAGCCCACTGAACACCACATTCAGCAGATCTCTTACTGACCCTCTTGGCCTGCTTCTCCGGTCTTCCCCAGACGCTGACCCCACCGATCGTGACTGTGGGGGCTCGCCAATCCCACCACTCTGCTCCCCATTCGCCCAGCTCACCTGACTGCGAACTCCGGGGAAGATGAGCAGGAAGGCGATGAAGACGGTGAGGAAGATGATGAGTATGGTGATGGTGGAGATGTCGCCGGCCACCGCCGTCCGGTTACTGTGGTGGTAGAGAGTCGGGCCGCCATCCGTGCGGAATGCGTCGAACCAGCCCTTCATGGCGGCGCAGGCCCCGACCGTGGCGTCACACGCTGTAATAAACACAGAGAGATGATGTCAGACATAGTCAGACAGTCGGACACTCACACGGTAATAAACAGTGGCAGACACAGTCGGACGCATACGGATTTAGGCACAGAGAACTCGGACGCACGTTATATGAGACACAGAGGCAGACACAGTCGAGAAGTGGCAGGCACAGACTAACAAAAGTTGACGGACACAGCCACAGGCAGAAACAGTCAGAAAATCACGGGTACTCTCAGTTAAAGACCAATATTTTCCGTCGGCAAAAGAAACAGTGCGATGCACGCAGACGACGACGATATAATGGAAGGACGGCAGACTAACCCAAGAGTCTATCTGGTCAGACTATTGTGCAGAGGAACTAGGTGCACTGGTCGGGGTCTGGTCTGGAACCCTCACTCGACTGAATGTACCGTTTAAAGTCACGTAGGTGTGTTTAATCACCATGTTTGTGAATGAATTGGTTGTTGAATGTCTACACAGTGTCATATACTTCAGCGTTCTGCGCGTTGTGCATTGTGCAATGTCTGCTTCTTACCGTCTCAGATTCTGATTGATATGAGGCCTTCTGCACAGTCAAACTCTTGGAGTGTCTCCACGTACCGGGCTGCATTACAATTCGCATTGTCCCGCTATCTAATACCCCTTCTCATCGCGTAACAATCCATCAGCTGACCTCGCGCAGCCTTCTGCGAGAGTTCGTCAGCGGGCCGGGTGGCTGCGAGGAGGTGAGCTCCCCCCGGGAGGTCGTGACCTCTCCTCTCCAGCAGCCCGACACCGTGCCGTGAATCCGCCGTCAGTCTGCGTGCTTGTATGCATATTGCATAGTACGGGGACCATCACTCCCGGTATTGCTCACCTCATTCGCGTATTTCCAGTCATGCGTGAACAGATAGCTGTGTTGGCGTTTGAGTTGTACATGTGGATACGGGACTCCTTTGGTCAGGAGAGGACGTAATCATAACGCTGGCATATCTGACACTCGCTTCTTAGATGCTTTACACTTTATCCCCGCTGACTCGCGATGTCCATTAGCTGTCACAAGGTCCTCCCTGTGTATTCCTGGATGACCTGGCTCCTCTGCACCCCTTCCATGGCACCAGGGAGTAGGGACCAGCATTTCCATCCCTGCCCCGGCCCGGTCCGTGGGTCATCTCACGCCCGACCAGCGGCGCCGCCAAGCCGACCGATACTACCGAGAGATGTGAAAGTCGGTCCGTTTCGACACCGGAATTTCGTATGGGTGGGGAGACACGCGACGCCGCGCCAGCCCACCTATGGAGATCGACAGGCTGGCCGTGCCGTGAAACACCCACCGTGTTGCACATCTGTGCGGCGACGATGTGATGTGACGAGGTAACGGGCTGTGATGTGACGAGGTAACGGGCTGCGATGTGACGATGGATGACTGGTCAGATGCATGATTAGTGCACACGCTGCAATCTGCGCCTGATTGGGCGTTCTGCTGTCATCTGGTCAGTCGGAGAATGACTGGTCTTGAAAGTTGTAGTATTCCAAAAAAAAAAAATATTTTGAAATATTCTCGCGACCTTTGATGCTTCATAAACTCAGCCAAGAGCACATATCAGCCAAGAAATTTCACCAAGCGTACCTATTATCGTTGCGATATCAAGATCCACTTGAGCCTTGCAAGCAAAAATAAGAGTTCTTGCGGCGAAGCGCAATACTTGCCTACAAAATAAGCATTCCTACTAGCTTAGGGGCTACTACAGTAATATGTAGATATGACTTAACAATAATACCTTTTACAGCCTTCGTGGCAGAAAAACCTTGATCATTCTATCAATCGATAATCCGATTAATTTTGTGGTAGCTTTAAAACCAGCTGACCTAAGGCATACCTGTGCTATCTTAAAAAGAATAAGGATACGTTTCAATGACGTACGAATTTAAAGACTGGTCTTGTTCCGGCAAGCCGTTGAATTCGGGAATTTCGTCAAGGCCTGGAAGGCTTTGAGTCATGCCAATGATGATAAATACCATGCCTGACGCATTCCATACGCATGGTTCTCTTTGTCCTTTGAAAACTAAGAAATTACGATAAAATACTTTTTCACCTAGATCACTTTATCTCAGGGAGCGTCCATGACTTCCGTCTACCTGGTATATCCGCGGCGTCCCTGGCCTGACGGGTGTCCATGGGTTGTACAATGTCAACACAGCATTAGCATCGTATCAGCGCTCAAACCTGGAGGCCGGCGCCGTCCGGCGGTTTATTTGTCCTCGTCATTGGCGGACGAGGCGCGGTGATAGCTCCGTCACGTGGCATTTCGGGCTGCAAATCATGTGCAGATCTTTGGCACAGTGCCGGTGTCGCCGCCACCTTGACCCACTCTTCATCTGACGCAGTGCCTTTGGTTATCTGGGCCCCGTGACAGCATAACTGGCTGTATTACCTGGAACTGGAAATGCCAGACGCCTTGATGACATTCAGTCGTGCTGGAAATAGATTATGGCGGATTTGGATACGGATGGACGCTTCACTTTCTGACGCACCGGAGCGAAACGGAGCGGATTCAGATGCTGATTTTGTCTCACAAAACAGAAGTAGTACTGTGCAGCAGCCTCATTTGTAAACCAAAGTCTGAACATTGCAGCTGTTTTTACCACATCAGTCTGTCAATGCTGTAACCGACGCACCACATTTGATTCACTAGGGCTAAGATTGGTGCAAAGGTAGAATGTTGGACGGTCTTTTCGGATGAAATGACCAATCAAGCATTATAGCGTACTATGTGGTTTACAAGGGTTTAGTATTCGGTCATCATTCTTAGAAGTCGGCTGCAGCACTTGATACGCAATTCGGGCTACCGTGCAATACGCATTTATTTACTCAAGCACTGAAATGATACATAATTTTATTTTTGCGCCACCCATCGTCTTGGATTTGCCTTCATTCACTTTAACCTACAAGTAGCAACTATCTTTTTCGGCATCCTAGCCGACAATATTTTCGAACTTAAACGGTTCCAGATTATATTTGGTATTTCTCAGGTCTCGATGAAACATGGATCGTAGCCTATTTGATCCCATATCGATCCTGACTGTGTGACGGGGGGGGGGAGGACAAATGACTCCGATGACAGTCGTTCCCGTCGGGTGACCGTCATCCCCTGCGCCGCTCGGCTCGCCGCCCGGGGTACCATGTATGCCAAGGTCGGGTGGCGGACGGCCGATCCTGCCGACTGGGGGAGACAGGCTCCTCTGCACCGAGCGACCAGCAGCTCCCGCCGGCCCTGAGAGCTTTGGGTGGCTGACAGTAGCCGCAGCTCATCGCTACCGGACCCGAGCGAGACGGGAGTGGTGCGGCGCGGCACGGAACGACACGGAGCGACACGGAATGGCACGACACGGCAGCGGCACCAGCTGGTACGGCACGATACGAAACGAGGTGTCACGGCACGGCACGGAACCGTAAAAGCTGCACGGAACGGCACTGCACGGCGCCGGCCGGAGCCGAAACGGGTCTGATCAGGTCCAACCGGATAGAGCTGGCGACTTGACGCGTCGGGGAGAACAATGGAAGGCAGTCGTCGTGTCTGTGACAGCACCGCGGAAGCGGGGGAGGAGCTCGGTGGCAGTTCTAGGCCACGCAACGACTCTGCTCACTGCTGTATAAGAGAGCTGCGGCCGCCTAAGAGCGATGCTTTAAAGCTGCTGACTCTGACTCTGACGTATCCTGTCTGACTCTGACTCTGTCTGACTCGGACTCTGTCTGACTCGGAATTATCTCCCAGCTGTACTCACGCGGGGCATGGCCTGTCGCCTGGGTCCAGTTAGCTTCAATGGTGACCTGTGCAGTCAGATCTCAGCTCTGGCTCGCACACTGTTGCTGGCGTCACCACCCTCAGCCCTCCGGCATTGTCGCCGGTGCCGACCGGCACCGGTCCAAACCACGGCGCGTCGAGCGCGACAGTAACACAGCGGCGCTCCTCGCGGGCCGCTCACCAACACTGACGCGCGCGCGAGACGACGAGGAGCGCGGCACGGCGACTTTCTCGAGCGGCGGCTCTCCGGCGACTGAGCGCGATGGTAAAAGTTGGCCCAAATAGCGCGCTGTGGTGGCGGCGACGGCGAGCGCCCGTCCAGAGCCAGAGACTGACGCTCGGTCGGCAGACGGCTCCCGGTGCGAGAGGCGGTGGGATCGGCGGCAGCGCGCCGGCCACAGACTGGCTCCCACGCGCGGCCGACTCGATTCACCGAACGGGTTAATCCACCGCAGCCGGTCCGGGTTGTGGTTTGACCGGCGCGCGAGATGCAGTGTGGCGTGTCAGAACACCTGGTGTATGATCCACCACAGAGGATATCAGCTCCCCAGCACATCTCCGCTCCTTACCTGTACGCTCCTCAGCTGCTCCCGCTCGGCTCCCAGCCGGGTCACGTCTCCGGAGCGGAGTCACGCGGTGCTCCCCAGGGAACCGCTTCCCGTCGACTGGCTTCCACTTCCTGCCGGACTGGGCTCTTCGGCCTCCAACGCCCGGCGGCTCACATTCTGGCCTTGGGAGCGAGGCTTCCGCGCCGGTCGGCTCCAAGGTCTTCGGCAGCGGCCGGCGCGCGCGCCGAGCGCCGGTCGCGGACCGTGCCGCCCCGCCCTGCGCGGCGCGCGCCGTCACGGTGCCAGCCAGCGCGTCAGGAAAGCCCGCCGACGCCGATCGGTCCAAGGATGGCATGCCGGAAGACGGGCATCGAGTGGGACAGTCGAAAAAACGTGACACGCTGTGGTGGGTGGCTCGGACCTTGGGCGACTCGAACAGAAAAATCAGCAGCGCACGATGACTGCTACAGCCTACAATGAAACAGTATGATGAGCTCACGAGGATAACCCTGCAACTGGTGCAGTTGCTGTATTCTTTTTCTTCATCCAGGGCAAATGGTTTCATTCAGTTGTCAGCACTCCGATGTTTTGGAGCATAGTTGATGCCTTCACGTACCAATGGCTTCTAATCATGCCAAGTAGAGACAAGTTATGTCTCATTTTAAAGCATTGTCACCAGTATCGCCCAGAACAGAGCAGTCAGATCAGCCAAAACCTTGTGCTGAAAGATAGCGCTTGATGTACAAAGCTAAGGCGTTACGCCAAGTAGAGCGTGCAGAGCACAGGCGCTTTACTTTTTTATCCAACAAAGACGACCACTCCCTCCATAGTCTCGCTACTTGGCGGGTGCCCTTGAATTCCGTACAAGCTTGAATCGTTTGATGATCTGCCGACAGGTGTTACATAGGCTGTTTCTTATATAACCCGATGGACCCTGCACTTGAGGGTACATTGTTACGATGGTGATAAGTCTGCTCGCGTTTTGGGAGGCATGAAGCAGCATATTATATAAATGATCATGCTTCATTTATGCTCTTCGATACATTTAAGATATTATCATGGTGTCTATTATCATTAGTGTCTATTAGTTGTTTTAGTGTCTATTAGTGTCTATCATATTACCATAGGTGTCTATTGAATACTGCCAATAGAGACACCTATACCTGACCCTCACCATAGCCAATTATCATTCATTTTAAATCCGAGAGTTGATTGCACTTATAGAGGTAATATCAAATGTCATTATGAAAAATGTGATCGGTTACATATTAATTTACATTTTAAAACAAATGAAATATTATAGACAAATAGCATAAGTAAGGAAGAAAAAACGATAAAGAGTTTGTGGGAGAGCGGAGAAAGAGAGAGAGAGAGAGAGAGAGAGAGAGAGAGAGAGAGAGAGAGAGAGAGAGAGAGAGAGAGAGAGAGAGAGAGAGAGAGAGAGAGAGAGAGAGAGAGAGAGAGAGAGAGAGAGAGAGAGAAGGAGAAGAGCGAGAGAGATCGAAGAAGAAGAAGAAGAAGAAAAAAAGAAGAAGAAGAAGAAGAAGAAGAAGAAGAAGAAGAAGAAGAAGAAGAAGAAGAAGAAGAAGAGAGAGAGGGGGGGCGGACCGGAGCCAGGCACAGGGGCGTCTCCGGTGAGGGCGCGAGGGTTATCACTATGCACCGCCGACCCCTGAACCCCGGTGGAGTTGTTTTGTCGGGCTGCACGCCACACAAGGTCAGCCGAGCACCGGGTGAGCTTTTTGCAGCGCGCTCACCCCCAGCCCGGTGCGCCGCGCGCGCTCCAATCAGATATATTCTCCCACAATCGACCGATGCCGCCGCTTTGGGGAGATACCATTCGGGGAGATATTGTTCTCCGCCAGCCGGGTGGAGAAACTGAGCACTGCATGGACGTGGTCTTATCGCAGCACGACGCTGCCCCGCTCGCCGACCGGAGCGACCCTGTGCCAGCACAGAGTGCAACAAGGCACACTCTGACACTGCACTGAGGTGCGAACTGTGGATACAGTGCCACTGTCCTTGGTACAGGTGACGCAGTTTGCGCCCAATGTGTGTGTGGACACAAAGACGTTGGTCTCACTGGGTCAAACTATCGGACTTTGGCCAAAGGTCACCCGCATTTATGTTGGATCAACCTGCTGATAGCACGTAGTTAGCGTATACGTTTGCGTTTGATAAAATCGACTACGTTATCATTGGTTCATTTTTTGAATTCAAACATAATTGTTAACTGCTGTTACGCTGATGTTTTGGTTAGAAGTGAATTGGGTGTGTGACAATTTTCATTTGCATGGAGTAAATAATTCACATTGCTTAGCGTATGTGATAATGAAAGAACAGTAACCAAACTCTGCACTCCCATGTACATTATACAGTGTACACAACACACAAATTGGCATTCGAGTCAATCATGAGTGCCCTCCTCACGACTCTGAGCAACAAACTGGGACGCCAGTAGCGATTACAAGACAACGCCATCGGGTTATGTCACCAGCGCGGCACGCTGTCAATATATCGCCGTTTGGTGATCCTCCGATCACGGCTCAGAGCGGGGGCCATTCCGGAGACCTGCAGGTCGGAGCAGTTCCCACGGTCAGAGCCCGCACCTGAGCCGCGTCTCACGGGCCAGGGCGTGGTCTGCCACCACCTCCACCGCCACCTCACCGCCGGCTCCAGCGGCAGGAAGTGGCAGGAAGCGGTCGCGCTTCCGAGTGCGTGACGCAATCACACGCAGCCCACTCGCGGCCTTGTGGCTTTGGCAGCGCAGCCCGAGTCCGCCGGCGACCTCAAACTCCGACAAACCGACGGACGAGCCGCCCGAGGGGAGCGGCGGTGATGTTTGTACACGAGTGCCGACTGGGTCGCTCTGGACGGTGTCGCAATGATGGCCGTGGCGCCGGGACCGAGGGGGTCGATCTGGGGCTGAGGGCGGAAGCGATCCCGGGCTGTCCTTGGAGGGCGGACCGGGCGAGGTGACGGATCAGCTCTGTCCGCCACGGATCACTGGGGAGACCGGAGCGTGACCAGACCGGTGGCGAGCCGGGCTGGCTGGGGTTGACCTCAGATTGGGCGATGGGGCGTGCGGGACAAGAGACGTGGCGAAAAAAAGTGGCGGGCGTAGATGGTCTTGGCTGCATGGATAACTGGCCTTATGGACAACTGGAGCAGTTGGTTTACCTAATTTGCACTTACATGGAAACAGCTCCGAACTTTTTGTAAAACATAGAGATATGTCACTGTACATGAGTGTACACTATGTTATTTGTTATTGATTCGGGTGTTCACAAAACTGTAGTTTTTTAACAGCTCAGAGGGGCGAGGGCGTTAGCAAAATACCATTCTAACCAAGACGCAATGAATATTTATGAGTTATGCCTCCAGAAATAATGTTGACGTAAAAATGCAGGAGTTAACACTTAACATAGCTTTGTGAATAATATCTCTTCTTACAAGTTAATTAAGTTCAAACACCTAAAAATGCTTCTATATTTAATCGTCAATTTATTTTCATCGAGTTCCGATAATTATCGATTGATTAGTTAATACCACCAAAGTGATTATGGATCCAGTCTCCAGAATCAGTAGCATAAATGGCGAAATTTGTTCAAATGCTTCTTTGGTTTAAGCAGAATAATGCAATAAAAATCGCTTTTGTACCTTCCACATCGATGCATCCAGGTCACTTGCCACTGTGTGTGATATCAACATCATTCACCGGCTCATCACAAGCATTTCGTCCCTTGCCGCCGTGCCAATGGCAGAGCGAACAATGAACATCTCTCACACTTTGCCACCCCCAATGTATCCCCCGGCGTGCTTTGTCTCTCCACCGTACCTGTACTGTGATCTCGGCTGGCGCGAGGTGCGCGGCTCGTCCGCCTCCCACCAGTCGGCCACCACAGGACGCTGGGTGCACGGTCACTGAACGACTGGCGCAGCATGCACGACCGGCGCGGCCAGCTCGGCTGCGCGCCGGCCGACCGCCCCTCGGCGCAGGACACGCCCCGGGGGGCCGCGCGCCGCACGCTCCGCCCACCGCCGCCGCGGGTGTGACGTCACCACTGACGTCACACCCGTGCCGGAAGACGACGGCGAGCCGACCCCGGGTGTTGACCTGATCCTGATTGGCGGAGCGCCGGGAACTCCCGGACCAGAGAGGTGAGTCCCGGAGCGCCTCCTGGAGCGTCCCTAAACTACCCGGAACGGCCCGGAGCGGCCCGGAGTCGCCCGGCGGCACACCCCGGCGGCTGTGACTCGAGTGATGCCGCGCGGTGACTCGAGTCAGTGTCCCGAGGGAACTCCCACCATCGTTCCCTGAGATTGGTTTCGGTTGTCCCAGGGCATTTGCTGATGGACCCATTTGCCAATGTGGGATTACAGAAATATGTGGCTTCGGTTGATTGCTTTCTCTCAGACTGTCACGCACCACCTGCTGTCATGCGTTGGTCGCTGTCCCAGAGTTCCGTACCCCATGCTTGATGTACTCGTATGTGTATGTAGTGGGGAGGGGCAATGGAGCACCCTCTGTAGCACACTTCTTGCAGGGCCACGTGGTTTAGGGGTTCTCAAAGTTCCACCGATAAATTATTGGACTATCGTATTTTGTAGGTCACGTCACCAGAGATCACGTCATGTTGTCACGTCACCAGAGATCACCGAATCGGATTAGTCCTCTCCGATCTCAGATCTGTGCAACCCTTTCACTAGTAGAATTTCTCTAAAATAATTTGTCAATGCTTTCGTCTCTATTATAATTGATTTCAGCGTCGAAATATATGTAATCAATTTTGACATGACCTCATATCAAGATAGAGGTCTTGATTTGACCAAAAAGGTGATTGATGCATAACAATAAATCTAAATAGCTAACTTTGAGCACATTAAACGTGTTATGTTCATTGAAGCATGTTTCTATCAAAATAACAACTATCATTTAAAAATCGTTTTCGTTGAGTTAGTTGGTCAACATTCTGCATGCATGGGTATATGATGCATGAGC